AAATTGTTTGAAGATTTTTGCGAGTTAAGAAAAAATCGTCAATGCAATCCTATTATTGTGTAAATTAACAATTCCAATTTCAACTGAACACCAGAGTTGATGACCGGAGTTTGTAGCAGAGATGTCAGACAAGATATGAATGTTTTTTTGGTCTGAAATGAAAGAGCGGGTCGAGAAATGACGTGCCAGAGCCTCTAAACATGACAAATGTCTCTAAAGATGATGTCTGTTTTCAATTGAACAGCAGAGTTGTGACATCATTGTCTAGGAGGACAATGGGGTCTAGGAGTAGGTATAGATCATTGGGGTCTAGGAGTCTCCCCTGGTTCAAAACCATCTTTAGAGGTCCTAGCACGCCATTTCTCGACCCGCTCTTTCGTTTGAGCTCAAAAAAACATTCATATCTTGTCTGACATCTTTGCTACAAACTCGGGTCTTCAACTCGGGTTTTCAATTGAAGGCCGATTATTCAATCGACTTTAAATCGAATTTGAAATACCAGATGTGCGCATTGGGCTATGCGCATGTCTCGGATTCAGGTGATTAATTACAGAAGAGGTAAGAGGGCGATTCGTAATATGCGAACATCTAGAGCGAAAATATGTAAACAGTTAGGTCCTGTGCGTTTTGCCAGTATGCGAACTGCTAGGTTCGATTCAATTATTCTAACAGATAGATTATGGGGTATTTACTCTCTTTTCCTCTTCTTGAATTCCGACGACTACCAGGGAGAGAGAGGTTCTGTTTGTATAGGCAATTGCATAGCCCAGGAAAAGCATGACGCATTGACAGTGCCTGAGCCCCAGCCCTGTCCCTGAAATTCAATAATTAGGTCATTATTCGGGGGGTACATGATGACGCAAAAATTTCATACAACAATCTAGGAATTCGTTAGAAAATTATATTGAATTTCTATTAAAGAATTACGTAGCTTTACTGTCTTTTTTAAATAGAAAATGTCCGATTGAAACTATTTTATGTAAAAAATCAGTAGAATTTCTACGCAATTTTATCTATTGAGACATTTTCTATAGGAATTCCTCCCCATGAATTTTCTAAGTATTTTCTACTGAGTTTTTCTTCTCCTTCCATTAAAAAAATCAAATAAAGAAACGTAAAAAATCTGAGCCGAGGAATTTTTCTAGAAAATATCTGCATAGAATTAGTTGTATGGAAGAATCGAATTCTATTGATTTTTCCTATAGAATATTTTCTATTGAACGTTTCTATTGAAAAAAAAATGCAGATACGCTGAGGAATTTTTCAGTAGAAACAGCGAAAAACTAACAGAAAGTTCAATAGAAATCTAATAGAATTTTACAGTAAATTCGCTAGATTTTTGTTTTATTATAAAAATTTTTCGTCCGTGAAAAACAAAATAAAGCTGCCAACCACATTTGATTGAGACAGTTAAATTTCCCGACTTTGCAATTTGAGTATTAGAATTAAATTTTATTCTGAATACGAGAACTATTTAATAATCTTTTTCGACATTAATTGCATAATTCGTAATTAAATAATTCTTTCTGTCACTCCTTTCCGATGAATAACGATTTCTTTTATACAGACCTCGAGGGCGCACACAATCATCCTTCCCGGTATCTTCTTCTGTGGCAGTTACCATGTTCCACACCACTTGTCAAATGACTTACATCAACAGATATTGTGTTCGAACTTATTGTCCCGTTGACTTGTCACTGAGATCTTTTCCCCCCACTCGTGGATCATGATATACAGGTTTACCTGAAGGAGGAAATAGTCTAATAGTTTCAATCAACACTAAGCACTCCTACTCTACATCTATTTATCAGGCTTCATTAACAGTTGATAGCCTTGAATTTTCCATTGGAATTTTTACGATAGCAGGACTGATAACAGATGGGCATACCATGCCGAGGGAAACCATAACTTCATTAGTATACTATATCTGTTTGCGGCTCCCAAAAGAAAGCTTGGAATTTGGTAGGTGTGTCTGTGTTGTTCCAGAGGTGGGCTAATAACCCCCAAATATCGTGATCAAGAAGGTTTATCTCGAGATTTCGACTGATATGAATTTATAACACAATTTCATTAATTCGTGAACTCATAGTGTTCACATTTCTTATAATTACGTAATTAGAGACAAGAACTCATTGCAATTCTTGCTCTCAGGAATAATTTATTCCTGAAGAAACAACCCCAAAGTGATCCAGTCAGACTCTTTTTTTTCAACAGTAGCAACCGAGTCTACCTTGGGATTTCCGTTTTTTAACATTTCCTTTCTTCTCTACCTTCTACGCACGACGCGTGCACGAACTCCGAAATAAATCGTCAACTGATGAGAATATTTCATTCAATTCACTAATTCCCATGACCACTGCTTCACGAATTTTATTCATTTATTTCGATTTTGAATTTGAATCGTCTGAATACCCAACAATTGTGATCAGGTGGGCCGGTTCAAAGTTGCGCAGTCGGCTGCGCAGTAGGACCAATAGTGAATCCATTTGATTAGGGCTTCGATTTTATCGGTATGGTGAGGAAACATGAAGAGAGAGGAGAAATTCAAAATATGGATTCCATTTTTGCTGCCAAATGGAAGTATTGTATTTGTGAAATACTAAATTTCACATTTTTTGTCTCACTAATTTTGGCCTCAGAAGATCGTCTTCCGACGATCCTTTTTTCGACGATAACTGAAAAAATAAGGTTTTAAATAAATCTAATTGTGATTTAAAATATTCATTCAATGCCATCTTGACCGGGTTCGATAATGAGATTCATTTCATCATCTGTTGTTGAAAAAATTTAATATGAAACTAATATTCAGAGAAAGGTAAAAAATTTTAACGTTAGGGCAATGTTCAATTAAAGGAATCATTGAATTCAATTTAAAATACATCGTCATAGAAATTCCATTCGGAAGCAAATTCCTAATTTATTACCAAAAATTGACAATTGGATGTTGTATGGTGGAAATTGATGATTGTCTCAAAGTATTAGAGCATCATCAGGAACAATCGAAGATGCTCGAGATCTCAACGGCGTCTGACTTCTGAATTTTTCCGAGTGTTGACTGTTGTCCCACCACTGGGTCTCACCTCTCCCAAACAAAATGAACATCAAATTGTCTAGGAAATAAATCCCTCCGGATGTGAAGAAAATAATCTTCCACTGATCGACATCACTCTGCGGAGAAAAAGATTGTCATTATAATCATGCGAATGAATACATTTTGTTTACTTATTCCTGAAATTTTATTTTTTGTTCAAAAGAGCAAAAAGTTTCAAAATTTGTTTTTTTCTCGTGAAAATATAATTGTTTCCTCCAAAAGTTTTTATTTACAGGCAAAGGGACTGTTTTTTAAAGCTTTCGGAGGGGAAAACACGGATGAAAAAATTTCATGGATAAACCTAGCGAATTCGCTAGACAATTCTATTGGATTTCTGTTAAACTTTCTGTTAGTTTTTGGCCGATTCTATTAAGATGTTCAATATAAAATATTCTATAGAAAAAGTCAATAGAATTCTATAGAATTTTCTCGGCTCAAATTTTCTGGTTTTTGTTTGATTTTCTTGACGAAAAGAAAAGAAAAATAGTCTGAAATTCTAGAAATTCTAATCTCGATATAATTAGTTCTATTGAAAAATCGAATTCTATTGACTTTGTCTTCAATATTTTGTCTTGAAAATTCACTAAAATCGTCCAAAAAACTAATAGAAAATTCAATAGAAATCCAATAAAATTGTTTATCGATTCTATTAAATTTGTTCGTGCGTAAAATGAAGAAATATTGAAAAAAGTTTCCTGCCTGTGCTGAAACTCCCCAATCTACAAGATCATCAGTGCATATTGTACGAAGTTGTTCTTCATCATGAAACATCATCAGAGACTTACCGAATCAGTCACAACTTTTCCAACGATCAGAGGTGCCAAAAGAGCAACTACTGACGCGGCGCAGTTGGTGAATGACACAAGTAGTCCAGCATATCGGGGACTCAGATCCATGTGATTGATCTGGAATCCGCATATAGCCCCAACGCCCAATCCACCAGCGAGTACCAAGAGTACAACTGGTAGTGTCGTATCACCTGGTGGTACGAAGCATATGCCAACGAATACAAGTCCTTTTCCCCAGTGACCGATTGTATTGCATAATTTGCGTAATAATCCACGAGATACCCCTCTCCCCTCACTCCAGTCTGACAGCCAACTCACCGGAACTGTCAGAAGCAAAACGGCTACGAATGGTAGTGCCGATTTCAGTCCATTCTGTTGTTGAGAATAGCCAAAAATGAGATGATTAATAATTTCTATTTATTTGAGGCAAAAATTCATCAATTTTTTCATTACAGGAAGCAAAGTTTATGAACTGCTATGAATGTTCCGGCATTGAATTGTGGAAATATTTAATAGAAAAACTTAGTGAATTCGCTAGACAATTTGATTGGATTTCTATTGAATTTTGTATTCGTTTTTGGCGGATTCTATCGAAATATTCGGGAAAAAATAATAATAAAAAATTGAGATATTTCTTATAAAATTTTCTCGGTTCAAATTTACCAATTTTTTTGTTTGATTTACTTATTGAGAAGAAAAAAAATAGAATAAAAAAAATGTAGAAAATTTGAGCGGAAGAAATTTTATAGAATATTTTCTATTAAATATTTGAATAGAATTGGACAAAAACTAATGGAAAATTCAATAGAAATTCAATAAAATTGTTTAGGGAATTCGCCAGATTTGTTATAGTAGTATTCTATGAAATTTTTTCGTGCTTGACTGTTAGTAGTCGAAGAGAAAGTGTAGATTGTGCAGATAAGAAGTAGATAAGACGAGAGTCTAATGATTCGTGAGTAAGTCTTTAAAGTATTGTAGACCTAGCTTAAATTTTTGTAACGCCCCCCGCGGACAAACAGCCCCAGAGGAGAAGTGTGCCTTGGAATATGGAGAGGGCTGTAACGTTCTCGCTTCAATAGTCACAGCGTCTCTCTTGCAAAACACGCCCCTTAAGCGTAGGGAAAGGGCAACCTCTAGCTCTCCGGGGAGAGCTAAGAAGAGTCGACTGTACACGAAGAGAAATGTTCAGTAAAAATTACGGGACTCACAATTCGCTCACGGATTACGGAATCGACTCAGCAAATTCAAGTGACGGTAACGTAATTTTTCACAGGACATTAAAAAAAAAAAAATTACGGAACACTGGAAAAATTCCGTGACAGTTCCGCAAAATTTCCTACAACCACATTTCGCTCCGGAATTACAGAAAAGATACGTATTGTTTATTGAATATTTCTCCCCGTGTAATTATAACAGCGTGGAATATTTCAACGTTCAAAAAATCTCCCCCGAAGTTACATTTTTCTACAAAGTTCACGCTCTACGGTAAAAGTCGACTTGAATAGTACTTTATCCGGCGGAGTGGGGACCGGCAATTCTTACGGAAAGTGCGTAGAGCGGGGGAAACGCCCATTCCCTCAGGGGGTTAATACCAGTCATCTTCACTCAATAAAATGAACATATAAACTGACTGTTTTGCTACTATTATCAACTGTTATGTACTTAAATTGTAAATACTTAACTGAGGGCTGAGAGCGATGGCTATTTGCAAGTTCTTGTAAGAATTTGCAACAAATTTCATTGAAAATATATGAATAAATAAATAAATAAATAATTAAGATGTTTTACAACTTAATAGGACAACATGTGTTATCACAAGTAGTTATCGCTCACTTCTTTGATGCCGAATCCAAGAACTCCACCCATGTACATTGGTATTTCATTATGAAGTATGAAAGATCCCCAATTATTTCCGCAGTGTGCAATGAGCAGTGACCAGAAGGGTAGACTGGTTAATATCGCTTTCCAAGGGGTCTTCGTGTTCTGCGATAGAAACAAATATCTCTCGAAAAATTCTTGTCATCAATAAGCAATCCTCACCTTTTGATCATCAGCCACTGTTTCTTCTCGCAACCCTCTGAGACTGCTCTCAATATACTTCCTCTCATGCTTATCGATACCACAGAAGACTTTCTCCGCTGATGCAGCTGGTGAATCAGACCCAAGGAAGAAGAAAATTAATGACCAAATGATGGCAGCCGCCCCGAAGAAATAGAAGACACTTCTCCATCCAGCTGCATCAATCAGAGCACCGGATATTGGGTAGGAAATGACTGTGCCAAAGTGTCCTCCAGCGTAGGTCATAGTGCCTGTAGGACATGTCCAAGGTTGATCAAGTGAAAACAGAGAGGATAAGCCTAATTGGTAGCGAAGTGGTGGATCAAGATGAGTTTATTTTACAGAAGAGGCTTCGTATAAGATACCTCACTATAAGATACCTTGCGCTCCGAGCGTTCGAGGCCTACCCCCACTCTCGGCACTTTTATCGCCTCCCGAATATTTATGTTCCGTGGGCTTCTTATAAGATACCTATAGCCCCGGTCATTTTTCCACGGGAAAAGAGTACACAGAGAGAAATATTCAATAAAAATTACCAGAAAAAAGACGTAAAAATTACGTTTCGAAACGTAATCTGGGAGCGAAGTAAAATTCAATAAAAAGTGTCAATCGTCACGTAAATTCTACGATCTGTTCCGTAAAAATTACTCATCCGTCCGACGCCTCACGGCTAGCCATGAGTCACCATGAGGGGGAGATTTTAACAACACGTTCCGTAATTTTTCCGGAACTTTTCGTAAAAATTCTTAAACATCCAAGAATTTTCATGTTCTGAGGCATAATAAGTCTTGAAGTTTCGGTTAGATTTTACAACTTCCAGAAAAATTACGTGACTTTTTCGTATTTTTTCGGTGACAGACCCGAAAATTTACTGAACGTTTCAGATTTATTCTCTTATATTCCTATAGAAATTCACTGAAAACGATTCTCGCTTGCGGATTACGTGAAATGTTCCGTAATTTTTCTTGAATATTTCTCTCCGTGTAGTTATAAGGATCAAACGGTGTTAAGGGTCAAAAGGTGGGACGAACGAAGTGATCATGAGGGTCTGATGACCTTAAGGGGGGCTCACACCACTTTAATTCGAAGACAGTCAAAAAATCACTCTGAAATCAAGTCGAGTCATCCTGTCCTCCCATTTCGCTACAGAATTTTTTTTTCTTTAATAATTATTAAGGGAAAATTATTACCCACTCGTCCCCGTTCGTTCGGCGGCACCCATTTTGACAACAGAGTGTGAATACAGGGCAGACAACAGGCCTGACATAGTCCCATGACAACTCTGCATGCGCACAGATACATCCAGCCACCTTCATCAAATACAATTGGACATAAAATGCTACCGAATCCATTTATAAATATGCCAATTCCAAAAACCATTTTGGCACTCCATATTCTCGCTAAATAGCCAGATGGTATCTGCATCGCTGTGTAACCCCAGAGAAATGAACTCAGGATTATACCAACGTTGTTTGAAGTTAATCCACCTTTGTCCTTCCGCTCGTCTTGAATTGCGATTATCGCTATTGACATGCAAATCCTGTTTGAGTACGCAATTGTGTAGCCCACGAAGTATATGAGACATTGCCAGTGTCTCACACCCCATCCTCCTGTTGACAATATTGTTTATTTTTACGAATGAAAAAAATTATTCATTTTTCATTAGGTGTTAAGGATGTTTATCCATTTTCCAAAAATTTAATTTACTCATGTTCGAGGAAAATTCTGTAATTTTTTAGACTGACCAACGGATGCCCTTTTTCTTGTCAGATTCGATATTCCTTTTTTGAATTAATTGTTTATATTCATTCTCATTGCAGAAAGCAATACGACCGGTGAGAATCATATACGAATGTCGACTTTCTCCCTAGGGAAAGTCGACATTCGCCAAAACCGAATTTTTTAGCCGGGTGAAGGTTGATTCCAACTATTTAAGCGACGGGCTATTCAGAACTCTCAAAAGTATGTGGGAAAAGTGAAAACTTAAAAAGGTTTTTTTTTCAGATTTTCAAAGGGTGAGATTTTCCGTTTTTCCAGGGGGAACCGCAAACCCAATTATTCAATTGAAAACTAAATCAGCAACGATAAAATATTCTAAAACAATTAATGATTGAAAAAGTGATCGTAAATTTTTCAAAAATAATCGCGGATTATTAAAGTCGCGAGAAATACTCACCTAATAAATTATTTATATTTTAATTTTATAAAATTACGTGTTATTGAATTTTCTTTTCTGGAAATCTTTTTTCCTATGAACTAATCTTTCCTATTCTCAAACCTGGAGAAGCTATATCAGCCTCGATGTCAACACACTTGACTCCCCTACCTGCCATAGTGGACTGTACTCTTTAAATATTCATTCATTCAGCAAAGTTAATTCGCTGGCTATTCTTCCTTAATTTTGTTCAGCAGGAAAATCCAGCATTCCTCCCACTCACGTTTCCGCTTAATTCGTCAATCTTTAGGATAACGTTTTCATTGTCACGTGAGCACGTGATAAAATTCTATCCACTGATGGTCTGTGATCGATAATCACCTCGGAATGTTGATCAAATTTTCAAAGAACCGAGAATCAATTTCTCCGTCTTCTTATCGTGTATTCTTTATTATTCGAGAAAATAATTAATTGAAATAATTGAAATTGAATAATTAATTAAAAAAAGACTTTATTATAATCTTACAAGAAAAATGAACTTACAAAATGAGTAATAAATAACACTTGATATCTTACAATCAAATTCAAAATCTGATAGAAAATCCGAGCGCATTTACCAGGGAAATTTACCTTTAAACAATTTAAAAAATAAATTCAACCATTTAATTAGGAATTATTAATTAATTACAGCATTAATTATTTCAACTTCATCATGATACAATTTCCAATAGAATGCGCTAGAGTTTTCTACTACCTCCTCTGTCATCTGCTCAACAGTATTTTTATCCTAAAAAGTTCATGAAAAATGATCTTATCCAACAATCAATCTCTCAACAAGATGAAAGTTCAATTCTACACTGTAGAAATTATATCAGTTTCCTCATTTGTATCTTGAGCGAGTCTCGATACGTCAGGAGACTCGAACCCATCTATACTACGGAATGACAAGTCTTAAGGGGAAACAGCCCCTGCGTTCATATGAATCTTTAGAATTGTGTTTTCTCCTGCAATTATTATTTTTTATTCGTTAAACTACTTCATTGACTCAACAATGCGATAATCGAGTCGATAAAGTCATTTCGTAGATAGAAATTAATAATTGTAGGAGAAAACACAATTCTAAGATTTGATGTAGACAAAGGGGTTCCGTCTCCCCTTAAGGCAGTATGGCATCACCAGGAACGATCGAGGATGCTCGCGGCCTCAGGAACTTGTCGTCGTCATGTTTGTTCGAGTGTTCACTGTTGTCCCACCACTGGGTCTTACCACTCCCGAATAGTATGAAGATCAGATTACCGAGGAAGTAGATGCCTCCCGACATGTAGAAAACTATCGCCCACTGATCTGCACTTGTCTGCACAGATAAATATTTTTTCCTGTCAGATTCGATATTCCTTTTTTCAGTTAATTGTTTACAATAATTCTCATTGCAAAAAGCAATACGACTGGTGAGAATCATTTGTCTCAATTTATCAGCTGTTAAATGTTCATGTTACAACAAATGATTTGCTCATGTTCTAATTCCTATGCTCACTGAATAAGATTTTAATCATAATTACAATTCAATTCCTTCTAGAACACACTTTAGAGTCTAAATTTCTGGAATTCAGGGTTTGTTGATACTCTGGTAAAAGTGCGTGCCCACACTGTTATCAATTTTTAGTTAGTTCACACGGTAATTCAATTAATCTGTTGTTCATCTCATCAATATAATTCCGCGCTTAGAATATTGTCATCTCGTGTTTTCAGCACCAAATTAAAAATTAAAACTTCATTTGGAATATTGAGTCACAGCTTCTTTTTATTCATATCAGAAATTTTGTATTTGGATATTAATATTATTTGTTCAGAGTGCAAAAATCGATCATCATTTTCACTATATTGCATTCAGATTCTCCTATCCTTAACGTAAAAAATGTGAGATAATCTCATAATTCTAGCTATTAATTCTAATCAACTTTGTTCGAAGAAAACCTTAGTAAACGCATTATTCAGAAAGAAGAATTATTCTATTTTCCTCTGACCTAAATGATCTGGACAATTATGATTCGTTTATTCGTGTTTCATAGAATGGTATTCAATTCTTTTTTGTTTGTTAACCGCCTTACTTTCTCCATTCATTCGAGATATCCATCATGTTCGAGTTCTCATTTTCGATTTGAGATGTTGCCCATGTTTTTTTTTAGAAATTATAGCAAGAGAAAAATTTCAAGTATCAATTATTGCATTAATCAATTAACCCCTCACGTACGGCGTCGATACCATGCATGAACCCATAAACTTGTTCTATCGGCCGGGGTCAATGCATTGTATCGACCCTTTCCGTCAACAGTAAAAAATCATTTTCTTGAATTCTAAGAGACATATTGACATTTGAAAAAGATATTTGGAAAGTCAATGAAATTGTCTCTGCAGTGACTTTTTTTTTTTTCAATGCATTTATAATATTTTTTTCTACGAACAAAAGTTGTAGATGTAAATTTTACATCCAACCGATTCAATCATATTAAATCATCTCGTTTATCGACACAATTTCCCCCAAAAATTTTGAAATTTTTACTAAAAATACTTCAATGATCCTTCTATCGAATGGCAGAAGTTAAATTTCGATTTGTTGAATAATTTGATTGTCACAAATAAATTTAGCATGTTCGCAGATCTCGGCAACCAATTGTCGGCAAACATTTCAATTGGTGTCAAAAATGAGGAAATTCTCTAGGAGTTTATTTCAAAGTTCAATACAGCTAGTGCATTTTATTTCAATTTTTTCGTTCGACTGTTTTTACGTTATCGTTCATTAAATAACGGAGTTGACCCGCCGTGAGTCTTCCGGCCGTTGGGCCAAGCTGCGTTATATGGGCGCCGTAAGTGAGGCGTTAAAAACGGATTAATTTAATAATTAATCCAGTGACTTGTTTCAATCTCGATAACTATTCGATAAACCTTGCTAAATATTGAAGTATTTTGTCAGTTCGGTGGCGAGGGTGGGGGGGATTGCAATTAGTGTTAATGATACTTACCGAATCAGGAACCATGCTGCCAACAATCAGAGGTGCCAAAAGGGCAACGATTGACGCAGCGCAGTTGGTGAATGACACTAGTAGCCCAGCATATTTGGGACTCAGATCCATGTGATTGATCTGGAATCCACAGATAGCCCCAACGTTCAATCCACCAGCGAGTACCAATAGTATAACTGGTAGGACCGTGTCACCAGGTGCTACGAAGCAAATGCCAACTAGAGCAAGTCCTGGGCCCCAGTGACCAATTGTATTGCATATTTTGCGGAGTAATCCACGTGATACTCCTCTCTTCTCACTCCAGTCTGAGAGCCAGCTCACTGGGAACGTCAGGAGCAGCATCGTCACGTATGGAAGTGCTGATTTCAGTCCATTCTGTCAATTGAAAGATTAATTCAGTAGCGAAATGGTAGAACGGTATAAGTCAATTTTGACTATTGACCAGTTTTCAATAATCATATCTCGGAATCTAAGGGAGATAGCAAAATTTTCGTTATGACCTTTTTTGTAGAGCCGATTGAGAGCTACAACAAATGTGATTACGAAAATTTCGCTATCTCCGTTAGATTCGGAAATATTCCTCAAAAACTTATTTGGGAGATAGGTCGATTTAAACCGGTTTACCACTTCGCTACTGAATTTATTTATTGAGTAATTTATTAATTTACGAATGCTTAACTTTATCCTTTGGAGTGTAATGACAATTTAAAAAAAAAGGTAAAATAATACGAAAACTACGGCACAAGGAGCATTTTGAAGGTAAAACCAGGAATAAATGAAGTTTTATTCGGTCATATATCACAAGGTGTTTAATGAGTCCCAAGGCCCAGTGAAGACTTTTAAATTTCACTGACGTATCCCGTAAATGACTTCACGGACGAAAAAATTTAATAGAAAAATCTATCGAATTCGTTAGAAAATTCTATTGAATTTCTATTGAACTGTTCTATTAGTTTTTGGCCGATTCTACTGAAATGCTCAATAGAAAATATTCAGTAGGAAAAGTCAATAGAATTCAATTTTTCTATATAACTTATTCTATTGAGATATTTTCTATAGAATTTCCTCGGCTCGAATTTTCCAAGTTTTTTCGTTTGATTTTCTTGCTGAGAAGAAAAGAAAGATAGAATGAAAAAATCTTAGAAAATTTGCGTCGAGCAAATTCTATAGAAAATATATGAAAAGAATAAGCTATATAGAAAAATCGAATTCTGTTGACTTTTTCTATTGAATGTTTTCTATTGAACATGTCAATAGAATCAGCCAAAAACTAATAGAAAGTTTAATAGAAATTCAATAGAATTTTCCAACGAATTCGATAGGTTTTTCTATTAAATTTTTTCGTGCGTGTTGTTTGATAATTTTTCATCAACTTTTTTCTCCGCGTAAAAATTGAATGAACCTGAAATTATCAATCACCTCTTTGATATCGAATCCCAGTACTCCAGCCATATAGATCGGCATTTCAGTGAGTAACATCCAGAATCCCCAATTCTGTCCACAGTGAACAATAACAAGTGCCCAGAACGGCACACTAGTCAATATAGCTCTCCAAGGTGTCTTTGATTTCTTGAAAATAAAAAGAACGCATAAGTGAATAGTCAAAACATGAGGGAGTTGATGCAAAAATGTAAACATTCCATTGCTATCTTCTTAGTGGAATTAAAAATGAGATGATACAATTGCGAGGTATTTCTCGGGTGGATTATCACTCAACCGGCCAAGGCCGTTTTCGTTGATGAGCATTTTCCGTAATCGTGTCGTGAGAAAACAAACGCTAAACCGTTTAACGAAGTATTTCAACAATTATTCATGATGCTTTCAGTGAAGTCGTCGTAAATAATAAATTAGAATTTACAATTTTTTTTTCTATCAAATTCTTTAATTAATTCTCTGCTGAGAAGGTCACTAACTGGCATTAGCTAATCTAATACGACATTGATAAGAACCGTTTCTTATCTTGAATGAAAGAAAAACAATGGAATGACTTAATTAGTGGAAACCGAAGTAGGGAATTTTAATTTTTTATTCATTCTGAAATTTCCAAATTGCGACTCATCGTGTTGATGAGTTTAACACAAGCACGAAAGAATTTAATAGAAAAACTTAGCGAATTCGTTAGACAATGAGATTTGATTTCTATTGAACTTCCTAGAAACAGTCAATAGAATTCGATTTTTCTATGTAACTTCTTCTCTTCAGATATTTTCTATAGAATTTCCTCGGCTCAAATTTCCTAAGCTTTTTTCATTCTATTTTTCTTTTCTTCTCATCAAGAAAGTTAAACAAAAAAACTTGGAAAATTTGAGCCGAGGAAATTTTGTAGAAAATATCTGAATGGAATAAGTTGTATAGAAGAATCGAATTCTTTTGACTTTTTCTCATAGAATATTTTCTATTGAGTATTTCAATAGGATCGGTCAAAAACTAATAGAAAGTTCAATAGGTTCCTTAGTTTGGTTTTTCTATTAAACTTTTTCATCCGGGCACTTCAGTTTTTATGTTAAAAAATGAGAAAAACTTGGGTTTTGATTTTTTGGTGATCAGAAAGAAACTTCAGAGGAATAAAATCCTCACAAGCGTTCTCATGACGCAAGTCTCAACCGATTGACTCTGATTTCGGTTCATACATGCATAATATGTTCACAAACATGACTAAGTGAGCTTTTTTGAAAATTTCTATTTTTTGAATTTTTGGGATTTTGTTTCTCAAAACTGGCGTTTTTTAAAAATAGTAATATTCATAATAATAAATTATAATAAATCATTTACTCAAAATGTAATGACAAAAACGGTGAAAAACATCTGAACGAATTTATATTTCAATGATTCCCTATTTGTTTCAATTCGAACAATTTTTCAGATTTTTCACCTGTAGCAATTTCGAGAAAAAAAATTCCCAAAGCATAAAAATCGAAGATTTTCAAAAAGCTTCATTCAGATTTATTCACGTATATATTCTGCGTGGGTCAACCAAAATTCATATCAATCGATTGTGAATTGCGTTATGAGAACATTGTTGAAAATTCCCTAAAAAAAAGGACCAAATTTTTTTTTCATTAATTTCTTTACATTGAAACTGAAGTAGTAAACTCATCAGGCTGATAAACAAAGCCCCTGCGATGTTGAAATTTCAGTGCGTTCTCCCCTTAAAAAACTCACCCTTCTATCATCATCGGCGTCCTGTTCCTCAAAAACTCCGAGACTGCTCTCGATATACTTCCTCTCATGCTCACTGATACCACAGAAAACTTTCTCAGCTGATGCAGTTGGCGAATCAGACCCAATGAAGAAAAAAATTAACGACCAAGTGATGGCAGCAACCCCGAAGAAATAGAAGACACTTCTCCATCCGGCGGCATCAATCAGAGTGCCAGATATCGGATATGAAATAACTGTACCAAATTGTGCTCCAGCGTAAGTTATAGTGCCTGTAGAAAATGCACAAGATAATCATCAAGAGGGGAAAAATTTTCGGGTCGAAAAATCTCATTTTCCACACATTGTGATGAACAATGGGATTCGACACTCGTGGAAAAAGTGTTCTTTGACCCTTGAAAGGATACACACCTCCCAGAGGTCAAAAACCACTTTTTCATCACTTGTGGGTAAAGTGACATTTTACGTACGCTCCATGTGCGCAAAATCCCACTTTCCCCACATTGTGATGAAAAATAGGGTTCGACACTCGTGGGAAAAGTATTCTTTAATCCCCTGAAATGGTAGCACTCGCCTTCGACGAGCGGGACACACCTCCCACGGGTCAAAAAAACCTTTTTACACACTCGTATCAAAATATTTTATTTCTATACAGGTCGAAAAATCTCATTTTCCACACATTGTGATGAAAAATGGGATTCGACACTCGTGGAAAAAGTGTTCTTTGACCCTTGGAAGGATACACACCTCCCATACCTATACGTGTAGGGTATACATGTTACGGAATAAATTAAATTATGACCTATAAAAAAAATTATCATTACCCAGTCGTCCTCGTTCGTTCGGTGGTACCCATTTGGACAGTAGAGTGTGAATACAGGGCAGAAGACAGGCCTGGCACAGTCCCATGATAACTCTGCATGCACACAGATATAGCCAGCCACCTTCGTCGTATACAATTGGACATAAAAGACCACCGAGTCCATTTATCAGTATACCAATTCCTAAGACCATTTTAGCACTCCATATTCTTGCTAAATAGCCAGATGGTATCTGCATCACTGTGTAACCCCAGAAGAATGAACTCAGGATCGTGCCAACATTGCCGGAATCCAATCCAACTTCCTGAGATTTTTTTTTTTCGCACGATCAGTTGAATTGTTGCAGGAACATTTGTTTATTGAATGAGGTGGTGAAATATTTAACGTCGTTCATTTTTAGTTGGGGAATTTTTCAAATAAAGTGCGGCAGAAAAATTTATAAAGTTGGTGTCTAATTGATAGTTAATAACTAATGTGTCAAAACATTTATCGACTTTTTCATGTTCAATGAAAAAAATCAGATCTTAGTCTTTAATGATAATGGAAATGTCGTGCTGATAAGTTTAATACTTGAATTTTAATGTAAAAGAAATGAGACAAAATTAGATTGTGATTTTTTTATTGATCAACAACTGGAATTTGGAGAAATAAAATCTTTAAGTGTCCTCATGACGCAGTTCCCAACAGACTGACTCAAATTTCGGATCACAGATACATTTTTTGTCCTAAAATTGGAGGTGAACAATTTAAAAAATTAGTCATATTCACTACATGATAAATCATTAATGCAGGATCTTTTCAGATTTTTTGAATCATTTAGTCAGAATATAATTAGAAAAATGAAGAAAAAATGCATTAATAATCCACTATGAACTTCAATTTGAATAATTTTCCCCATTTTTCACCTGTAGAAATTCCGGGAAAAAAAACACAAAAATAAAAAAACGAAGATTTTTAAAAAACGTCATTCTACTTTATATTTATGCATATTTTTTGAATTTGTAAACCAAAATTCATGCCAATGGATTGAAAATTTACTAAAACAAAGAAAAATTAAGACCTAATTTTTTCGATTTTTTCTTACATTAAAACTAAAATTGTAAACTCCTCTGCGCGATAAATAAAGGTCTCTGTCATTGTTGAAATGTCAGTGCGGTCTCCCTTTAAAAAACGAAATCAATCATTAAATTGAGAAACAAATTGCGATTCCAAACCTAATCCACTTTTCCAGAAATTTTTTGCAGTTTTTAATAATCTTCAAAATTATCGAAAAAATAGAGCCATTCTAAATTAGATCACAAATATTAGATGCGTTTTTCTTCTCTTCGAAACCGACGAAAAATTAAGCAGTTACATTCATAATAATGACGTTTTCAATTGCCTGTCACTAAATTTTCATTATTATTGAAATAAAAAAATACGTGTCTGATATTCTTCATTCAATTTCGATATCTGGCAGTGGAAAGATTTCTGCAGAACCCCAATTCATAAAACGTGATAAGTAAAACAACATTCTTCTCTTTGCCTGAAAACCTCTTTGAAACCGACGAAATTCCCCACAAAAAATGTCTCCCCATTTTTCCCAGAATCATTCACCCCAAGATAATTCAATATTTATTATAAAATTGACTCGTTCTGTTCTGTTGATACGATCCCATTACTGATTAATTTTTATTGCATGTTTTATGGTCACTGAGTTGCTCCATAAATTCAACTTATCTGGGCGGAATTATTTTCGTTTACATTTCAAATAAAAAATTTTAATCTTCATGAATGAACTATTCATAGCAACTTATGTGGAAAATTTCTAATGGAAACTTTGCCAGTGATATCAATGAAGGGGGGAGAGCTGCGCAGGAAAATTACTCAATTTGTTAAAGAATAAATAAACAATTGGAAATTTTTTATGAGGCAATGAAGGGAGATTGTACTCACTTCTTTCTCGATTGCAACAACAGCTATTGACATGCATATCCGGTTAGCGTAGCCCAGCGCCAGGCCCAGGAAGAGCAGAAGACATTGGCAATGCCTTGCACCCAATCCTGTTGAATAAAAATCATTGATAACGCGAAATCCATATCGCCGCGGTGACAGATGATTGACAGGAGTCGCGCCAAATTGAATTGCATTTTTGTTATTTTGTTATTATCTTTTCAGTCGTTTTGCGAGTAATTTTACGGGGTCACTGGCACTTTGTCAATGTGGAACAGTGTATCGCACATTCAAGGCCGATATTATCGATATTCCTGAGGTGTGCGTGGATGATTTTAATCTGGATTTACGCAGTTCAATGATAAATCACAGCATTTTTCTGCTCAGAGAGAAAAAACGGCACGAAGTTGCCTCTGAATTTTGGTAGTTATGTTGGAAAAATGCGATAAAATTGAACAAAAATAGAAAATTTTCATCCAAAACATTGTAATTTTTATGAATTAGATGATTTTTTTACTAGAATTCAGAAATCATTTTTACCGATTTGTTGTTTTTGAATGCATTCACAGTTTCATTGCGCTTCAAAATTTTTTTTATTATGAATATTCATCCAATATCCCATACCTAATTCATTATTTTTTCAATTTTTGGCAATAAAATTAATTGTGAATTTAATTCGGCAAACAAAATCATAATTTAAAAAAAATCGAATTGTTTTACTGACAACATACATTTCACAAAATTTTTTGGTCACTAAATAATTTTTTTTTATAATTTTTTTCTCGAAATTGAATTCCCTCTTTCACAATTTCAATTAGCCTCACTTTAAAAAATGAATCACTCGTAATTGATTTGACTATTTCGGATTTTTGTAAATTGCTTTTTTCATTGACATTGTTTTTCGTTAATTAGGGGACGGTGGGGCAAAATGAAACACGGGGCAAAATGAAACAGCAAGAAAATCTTGTGATCTAAGGGAGATAGGACGATTTTCACGAAAACCTTTTTTGTAGAGAATTTTACAAGCTACAAAAAAGGTCCTCTTCAAAAATGTCCTATCTCCTTTAGATGACGAGATTTTCCCACTGTTTCATTTTGCCCCGTGTTTCATTTTGCCCCATGCTCCCTTATTTGATTGCTTTTAATTAAACAACCTGGACGAAGTTGATTATCATGTTTGATAATCCCGCACTCGACTCCGGTACCCGTCATATTCCACTGAACACGTCGAATAAGTCCGATGCCCGCGAATTTTGTACAATTGAACCGGCCACCGTCCGCTACTACTCGGACATCGCCGATGCTTCTCCCACTCCGGATTTTCTGTCCATTCGTTTTCACAAGACATTTCTGGTGACCCCCACCCGGAGTTTGCACCGATAATTGTCATAAAAATGACATTATTTCATTAATTCATCATTTTAAATCAACAATTATTTATGAATATTTATTATATTTCTCAAGGTAAAAATAATTCTGGCTCTTGTTTACCTCGATGAATTCAACAAAATTTTTGCAATGTTTAAATTTTGTGATTTATTACTGCATACCGATGCTGTTACGACTTCTCAGTGGTAAAATATGTATCTGTAAGTGCATTCATAATATTCGAAAATTGCAGAATAATTTCCAGTATTCTACAAAAATGGGCATGTAGGAAAAAGGTGAAGAAAAATTTCTGAACAAGTCAAGTAATCGTAGAGCACAATCTATGCCTCATAATTATATTTGTATATGGCGATACAAGTGCGACGGATTTTTCACGAGTGTGAAAAACATTGCAAATTCTTCGATAATCGATAATGTTTTTTAAAACATCGCCCATCCCTACCAACAGGAGAGGGATAGCCAAATCCATAATATTTAATTACCGTTAAATATTGTAGCCGCAATTAGTTAAAATCATTCTTAAATTTTTTAGTTACTTGAGTATCATCAATTCAAATATTCAAATTTTTGAGTATTTTAACAATCAATAATTAAGGTGAGAAGATGACGATTATTTGTGTAATCGAAAATCCTGTTTTAAGAAATTTGAATTATTCACTGAGCGGTAAATTTACAGTTCCATGTTATCAAATTTTAATTCATCATCATTCGACAAAATCAGATTATTAATAGTATGCTATTTATAAAAATTTGATCAGCATATTTTAAACCTTCATTAATGTAAGGGGCAAATTCCTATGAAAGAAACGTGAAGTTGTTTTATATCGAAATATCTCGAAACTGACTGACCGCTAATCCTCAATTTTGATTGATCAATGAGTCACGTGAAGTAGTCGCTGAAAAAAATCCTCGGTATTTTCAAATTCTTCAAATGGCAAAACTTTTTTCTGCGTCATATTTTTCATTTTTTCATTTGTGACGTTTATCTTTATATCAAGACATATTTAAATTGCCTAATTGTTGATCATGAGAAAAAAACATAGTATTTCTAAATTTTTTCAACACACAAATTATTCTTCACTTTCCAAATTTTAATTTTTTCATATTTATCATACGCACAAATGATCAAGTCTTCCTTCTCAGATTTTCATACATAAATTCTAAACTCTACAAAATTCATGATAATTCTTCGGTTTCCCAAATAATTCGAGAAAAATCTTTGAAGAGCTACCAAGGTTAGCTGGAAAACTGGAATTTTCCGAAAAATTCAAGAAATTTTTTCAGTTTTCTGGGAAATTAATTCATAACCCGCCCCTCATTTTTCAACAATTACAGATTTTAATCAGATTATTTTAAAAAGTAAAAAAAAGAATTAATCGAAAATTAAAAATTATTCATTGATGTTTCACTCTTCATTCTCTTAATTCTCTTTAAGTCATTATCAATATTTATAAAACATCTATGAGTATATGAAGTTTAATAAATTCGATTTTTTCATTTTCACAACAAAAAAATAAGCGCACGCACAGATCTAGTCTTGTAATATTAGAGAAATTTAATATTGATAGGATAGGGAATGCACACCAGATTTAAATACAGTAGAACCTAGCAGTTCGCATACTGGCAAATTTTTCATTTTTGCTTCTTTCTCCAATTATTTTTCCTTTTTCTTTAGGTAAATAAAACAAAATTTTTTCATTTCAGTAGCGAAACGGTAAAACGATGTAACTCGACTTGGCCCTTAGCGGAGTTTTCGAGGAATATCTCCGAATCTAAGGGAGATAACGAAATTTTTGTGAAGATCTTTTTTATAGAGCGCATTGAGAGTTATAAAAAAGGTAATGAAAAAAATTTTGCTATTCGCCTTAGATTTCGAGATATTCTATGAAAACTGGCCAATAGTCAAAAGTGACTTGAACCGTTTTACCGCTTCGCTACTGATTTCATTCACAACAACAAAAAAATATCAACAATAATTGTAAAAAAATTAAAAATATTTTTCAACAACGAAAAACCATTAATAATTCATTAAAAATGTGAAATAATTTGGAAAGATTCTGAAATGAATTTCCCATTAAAAAAGAACGAAAATCTCTCCCAACCAAACTACCTAAAATTTCTGAAACTCTAAATTCCTCCGATTATTTCTCTCTACTTCATGATCAAATTATAATTATTGTTCAACGCATATGACTCCGTGGCGCAACGGTAGCGCGTCTGACTCCAGATCAGAAGGTTGCGTGTTCAAATCACGTCGGGGTCAAACAATTTTTTTTGTCTTTATAAAATCTCAAAAAATAGCTAAAATAAAAAATGAAATTCTCCAGATCATTAATCAATGATCAGTGATTCGTGCGGTAAAAATCATTCAATTATATCATCGCGGGTTTTGGTACAATCCATTTCATTCGGGGCATTCGTTCAAATCGACGTAAACGACCGAGCGCACGTTTACAGCTGCCGCTCGTGTCCGGGGCCTCCATAACCTCAAGTGCTCAAGTGAACCAGCGAAGTTCATCCAGAAACACCTGAAGTTCCTTCAGTTCTTATTAACAAATCAATAGTATTGCTTCAACCCCGCGGTGATTAACATTATTAATCGATCATGGGTAAGGAGAACGACACGGAAAGCCCGAAGAAACGCAGAAAATCGATCAGCAGCACTAGCAGTAGCACCACAGGGAAAGACAACGACATGTACAAAGTAAGCATCAGTAGCTCTTAACCTTTTCTCTCATTTTGCAATTTCCAGTTCCAATTTATTTATTAAGATTTCCGGTGAAAGCCCATCGAAACGAAAATTCATAGAAGTATGCAAATATATATTAAACAAATTTTCATAATACAAAAATCCAATTGATCAATTGCAAAAAATTGTGAGAAAAAATAATAATAGGGGAGGTTGGGGTAAAACGGACACTTTACTTTTTTTTAAATGTTAATGAGGGGTTGAACTGTTGATAAAATTTAATAATTTTTTTTAGTACAAAGAACAATTCTTTCCCTTTGTGACGAACCTAAGCTGAGCTTAATTGATTCATTTGTTCTGAGTTATGAATAATTTTTAAAAAGTCAAGTATCCATTTTACCCCACCCTTCCCTATCGAAAAAATTCCCTAAACAAGAAAATATTTTCACGATCGCAGAGCTGAACTCGCTCAATTATCCTTTCTCGATAATAACGCAATTTTTCTTAAATTGCTCTTAAAATTTTTGTATTCAGTGTTTTCAAACACATCATCCTCATGATCTTGAGAACCACGAGGGTTAGATTCACACAGTTCCCAGCATTGAAAACCTGGGGATATAACCGACCCCAAAGCCTGGTTACAACCCCATTTTGCCCCCATACTTCCCCATATATCCACCCTTTTTACATTATTCACCAGAGAAACAGCCCTTACATTTCGCATCTTGACACACTGACAGAAAAAATTAATTTTATCAAGAGAATTTTATTTGAACCAACTATCATTTGATTATTAATTTTCAAATAAACATGAGTTCATTGTGAATACCAGTAATCTCTTCTTGAGATACATTTGATTGGGAGAAATCGAACTTCTCTAGAATTGAAGTTCCTTTTATTTGTCGCAATAATGAGAGCATTTGATTTCTTTCTCGCCAAAAGTTTGCCAACTCCAGAAATTCGTTGGTTTACTCAAAAATCAAAATTATTCTCATGACTAAATACGTTGTTATCTCAAGGTACGAATTTTTTATCAATTCATGAAAGTAGAAAATTTCTCGAGTGGGGATTATATTAGGTGTAAAAAAAATTGAATTTTTCCATGTTCGTGGTGAATACATGTGACTTGAAGCCAAGGATTGTTTTATTTGATTCAAGTAAATGTATCTGGAGAAGAAATAACTGATATTCACGCGAAATTCAAATTTCATAATTTTCTTTGGATCGAAGCAGAACATTATTCTCATCATCTCGAGAACCAGCGTGACCACAGCCACGTGGTTTGCGTCATTAGAAATCTCAGAAATTTTGCGATCCCAAACCCTGTTCACAACCCCATTTTGCCCCGATACTTTCCCTAACAATCCAACATCTTGATTTTACCCACAGAAAATAACTTTTCTCACACTTCACTCCTGTACACCAGTACTAACGAGGCAAAACGGGTTCAAGACCAGGGTTTGGGATTGAAAATTTTTTCAGCTATCTAATGGGGTCGCTTTCGACCCCCTACTTACCCTCGTTCCCCCTCAAAATCCGCTTTTCATCACAAAACTTTACATTCACAATTTTTTTTTTGATCAAACTGACACGAGATCGACAATTCCTCAATAATTTCTAATTAATTGTTGTAATTACCTTTATCATAGACAATAATAACCTTCGAGGAGCAAGAGGCGACCTCTCGTTCACCGGACCAAGACTCGGAGAATTTTTTCTCCACCTGCGACATAATCCGCAATTCAATGGAAAAAATATCGAAATTAAAATCAACTGATGAGGCAACAGTGAGTATTTCCACTTATATGCCTTCAGTTATGTTAATATTTGAATAATCATCAGTCCCCACTCTATTCACACGATGGATCTACCGTTTGTTTTTCCATTGAGCCATTTGTACATGTTTCCAGAGTAAAGATGAGATACGTGAGTTGATGATTGATACATCACTTGCATTCATTGAGTTGAAAAAATTAAACAGAATGGAGAAATTCAGGACTAAATTCGCAAGGGATTCATTGACCTCAGCTAAAATGGGTGTTGACAGTCGTCATCTCCAGCTGCAAAATCTACTTTACGAAGTTATGCATCTGAAGAAGGAAGTTATCAAGTGTTTGCAGTTCAAGTGAGTGATTTATTGTCGTGAGTTTATTTGTTTGTGATAAGCTAGGCTGGATGGTTGAGTAACTTTTTTTGGGGCCATTTCTGGGGGATTTAGGTCCAAGGATGAATCAATTGAACTTGTCTCAGAGGAGGAGTTCTTTAAGGAGGCGCCGGAGAGCATTTCGAGACTGGTGAGTTGTTGACTCAGTGAACTCATGACACGTTGATATTACGTTTAGTCGGAGGTGGCGCTCGTGTTGAGATTTTCTGATTGAGTTTTAGAAGGATTTTTGACGATTCTCTAGTGCTGACAACCTTGGGTAATTGGGTTATCGGCGATGGTTTTTAATAATATTTGCCGTTAGAAGGACGGTGGCGATATACAGTAGTATATATATATATATACCTGTAATAATAAGAATAATAATGATAATAATAATAATAAAATATTATAGTTATAAAACTGAAAAATCAATCATTTGAAATAATAATAATTCTTTTCAGTAAAATATAATGATAGTTTCAGTGGATTATTGTTTGGTACAACATTTTTTAGTCTAGTTTAGCTTTTTTGGGACTTCTGTTGTGATAGAATATTCTCAGACTAGACTAGAGGAGGGGATTTCATGATAAGGAAGCGAATTTTTTCTGTTAAAGATATCCGATTATCAAATGCGACTGGCTAGCAATTATTCAATTTGCAGTTTTTTTAAATTTCTTCGTCGATTTAATTTTTTTAAATCATTTATTAAATTGTTGATTTCCGTTTATTTGATGATGTATTTAGTTATTTGTTTATTTAATCAATTTTGGGTTTGATATCCCCTTATTCAATCAATTGTATTATTATTATTGAGTTGAAGATTATGGCATATTAGGGAAATGAATAGTCCTCTGATTTCATCAAGGTTTTGTGTTCGTTTTGTTATTTTCAAAGTGGTTCATTCACCATGCGAGTAATAATTTAATTAAAAACTAACGATTGATCACGTCAAGAGCCTGAGGAAACTGAGACAATTTACTGAAAGACAATTACTACCATAATTTACTCCATAAAATGAGAAAATTCTCTTCCCATCAGGAAATAACAAAGACAGACCCCCACCAGCTTCGCCTGGCCCGCCTGGAATGGGAGTTGACTCAACGAAAACAACTCGCCTCCCTCTGCGACGAACTCTCAGAGAGCAAGAAGGCAGTGGCCGCCAGTATCTCCACGAAGCAATCTCGACTGGATAATCTAGCTCCTCAACTTCGTTCGATTCTCGAGTCGTCGAAGCCCCTTCAAGAGAGCCTGGGTCTCCCCCTAGACAAGATCCATCAGGAGCATCAGAAAGCCTCCCTCCTGCCAACCCCTCTCTATGTCCTCTACTTGAAGGCTACAGCCTACAGAGACGCCTATGATTCTCAATTGATAGTCTCGGTGGAAGGGGATGAAGATGAGGCGAAGAGGATTAATTCCCAAGAAGGTGGAGGGCTTTTTTATTACGAAATATAATCACTTGTCTTTAATCTCGATTATTTCTGAATTTCTTTGAATTTTCATCCTTTAATATCATTATTTTATCAAGTTGATGGAATAGAAAATGTTAAAATAACTCTACATTTAGGGCTTGAGGCCTTGAGTGTTTTTGCAAAAGAAAAATTCTCAAAGTTATTGTTTTTGTGTCAGAATTATTGAAATTAATGTAGAGGTTAATGTAGAGGAAAATCATCACCAAAATCCCATTCTCTCACACTCCACCAAAAATTTCACCCATTATTTTTTCTTCCACGAAGGAACCAATGACTCAGACTCTGACCAAGCAGAGGAAGTTCCCCCGGAGGAGGCGCCAGTCCACAAAAAACGCCACCACAGGATCTCGAAGGAAGCGAGGATGGAGGAGAAAAAGTCACGAGTCCTCCAGAGGCACCCCCTCACCGTTCAGTTGATCCTGACGATAAAGAATCAGACAAAAATGAGTCTCAAGTTTCTCTACATGACTCTCCTAAAGATCGTGACAGTCGAGTCCCACCTGACTGCTGAGGATGCTGGACCCTCTGCTGGGGACATGCTCATGTCAGAGTCAGTCCTCAGGGAGCTTTACCCCAAGGACTTCGGGGTCGAGTCGCCCAACCCTGCGAATTCTTATCAGTTGTCCAGACAGAATTTGGGGAATTTCAGTACTCTTGGGGTGGGGATTCCCTACAAGTGGGCCCAGAGGATGGCTGGACTGCAGTTTATTGGGAATGACGTCGGGGAGAAGACCAAAGTTGACGTGAAAGTTGCTCATGACAGTGTGGAGGAGGTCCTCAAGGAGGTGAAGAAGAGGGTGAAGGCTAGGCTGGAGCTCTGCGCCGAGATCAGGATGCTGGAGGGGGGAAATTTCCCAGTGTTCGGGGGGGATGTGCCTATGAAGATTGGGACCATGCTCGTGAGGTTCGGCGCCCTGAGGAGGGGCGAGGAGAGGGGGGAGCTGGGGTATGAGGCTGTGCTCAGAAGGGGAAGCAGTGAATTAGTTGCACAAATAACTATAAAACCAGACTACCCGAAGGTATCTCCAATCTTCAGTATCAAAATCAACCCTTCTGTACCATCATCGGCTGATATAATCAGGGATATGGAGCGTGAGATAAACGTCATGTGGGATAAACCAGCAAATCTGTCTGCAAAGGTCCAGAGACTTCGGGCTTGCTTCGACATTTACCTGGAGACTGAGGGCATGGCGCCCAAAGAGAAGGTCTTCTTTCATCCAGTCAAGGGACGAACTCGAGCCAGACCCTACAAGTACCTGCCACTGGGAGGGGGGATTTTCACACAACGTTGAATCGACTTTTCTACTCTATTACCATTTTTTCAAGTGTACAAATTATAAACAGTACCGATAAGTAAATAAATACATTGATTGATAAAAAAGTAAATAAATCGATTGTAAACCGAGTTGGAGTCAATCATTACCACCTTGCAGCCTCCTTGGAAAGAATTGGAATAATTAATTACCCAAGCTGTTCTTGTGAAGCAGAAAGCAAAAACGCATTTCTGATTTTTATTTGGTAAATTAGAACTCAGTCATTTCAAAATAATTTTCGGCGCAGCATTTTGGGCCAGCCGCCTTCGAGGTTGTTATACTGAGGGCTGCGTATCTGAGCCTTGTTGTAATTAATTATTTAATAATTAATTACCCAAGCTGTTCTTGTGGAGCAGAAAGCAAAAACGCATTTCTGATTTTTATTTGGTAAATTAGAACTCAGTCATTTCAAAATAATTTTCGGCGCAGCATTTTGGGCCAGCCGCCTTCGAGGTTGTTATACTGAGGGCTGCGTATCTGAGCCTTGTTGTAATTAATTATTTAATAATTAATTACCCAAGCTGTTCTTGTGGAGCAGAAAGCAAAAACGCATTTCTGATTTTTATTTGGTAAATTAGAACTCAGTCATTTCAAAATAATTTTCGGCGCAGCATTTTGGGCCAGCCGCCTTCGAGGTTGTTATACTGAGGGCTGCGTATCTGAGCCTTGTTGTAATTAATTATTTAATAATTAATTACCCAAGCTGTTCTTGTGGAGCAGAAAGCAAAAACGCATTTCTGATTTTTATTTGGTAAATTAGAACTCAGTCATTTCAAAATAATTTTCGGCGCAGCATTTTGGGCCAGTCACCTTCAAGGTTGTTATACTGAGGACTGCGTATCTTCGCCTTGTTTCCGCAGAGGAGCAAAAGATGTCACGGTTTTTAAAAAATGATCCTTAGACCGGGGTGAATTAATTTATTAAATTAATCGAGTCACCCCGGATTTCTGATTTTGATTTGGCAATTTAGAAGCCAATCATTTCAAAATAATTTTGGGACTCAGCCGTCTCCGCGGTTTAGTCCAGGAACGAAAATGTTGAAATACTAATTTTAGGGGTCCAGATTGTGTGTTATATCAAATTATAGACCCCACGCTGTGATTAACAGCAATAAAACGTGTAAGGACTCAATATTTGGAAAATTCATCATATCAGATGATATGGTAATATAATTCAGTAATGAAATGGTAATCGGGGATAAGTCGACTCATCTGCCAGTTGAGTTATTGAGGAATATTTCCGAATCTAAGAGAGATAGCGGAATTTTCGTAATTACATTTGTTGTAGCATTCAATCGGCTCCACAAAAAGGGTTATAACAAAAATTTTGCTATCTTCCTTAAATTCCGAGATATTGATTGAAAACTGGTCAATAGTCAAAATTGACGTATCTTCTTTTACCATTTCGCTGCTGAATTTTATAATTTATCTACCAAGATTTTGTAGGTCATGAAATTTTTCAAATTTTGCAAATTTCACATCATTACACCATTACACCGATGTTTGTGGCCTAGACCCCGGCATCCTCGCAACCGTCACCAAATAAGTCTTCAAAGATCCCCTCAGTCTCTTGTTCTCCGCCATCAATTCATTCTTCTCCCTCTTGATCGCAATTACCTCAGCCTTTACGTAATTGTACTGCTCCCAGAAATTCTCCAACTTGTCGTAAGGACTCATGACGCCATTCGAAGCACTCTCATCATTCATCTCCCCAAAATTGAATTTCTTCAGACAAAGGGTTTTGCTCTCCAACGAAGAGCAGATCTTCATGAGAAAAATAATAGTCGAACTCTTCTCCTCGATCTTCTTCATGTCCTTTATCACAGATCCACTCATCACCGTCAGATTCTTCAGCTGCACCTGGTCCATCGCCTGGTCCGTCCTGATTTCCTGTCTCAATTTCCAGATTCTCGTGTTCAAATTCTCTGATTGGACCTTCAATTCGTTAATTACATGGTTTCGCTCCTCGGATAATTTTGTCTCCTGGGTCTTGAGGGTCTCCATCGTCGTCAGGAGGAAGGACTGACGCTTAGGGAACTGGGAGGCCTCCTGGTGGTGGGCGTCGTCCAGGGATTTCAGGGTCTCGTACTGCTTCCGTTTCTTCCGGGTCTTCGATTGGTAATCCGATATCACTCGGTTCAATCTGCACCACAGCTCGTCGATTTTACCTCCTACTGTACGTTTTATCTGGGATATTGCCTCATCTTTCTAAAAATTAATAAATGCGATTCTTGAAGAGGTTTAACCATTGACGTATTTCATTTTTCACTTAATGTCAATTTTAAGATGATGAGATTCTATTTGTCTTTGAATATTTAATAATAATTTCTTCGTATCCAAAGACCTTGAGAGTAAAAAAACTACTGAAGTGAGCAGAAAAATTTGTGTCATAAATTCTCAATGAAGATTGCATGAAAACATCTGAAAAATGGCTTTAAAAATTTGTTCTTTTCATAGAAACTGGATGAAACGTGTTGAGGCTGATCTGAAGGAGATGAATAATTTTGAGAAATGCTTAAAAATGCGAGGTGGGTGTGCCGCCATCTTGAAAATCCCGTCCGGCAGAGGGATGAGGCTTTAAAGCAAGATGGCGGCACCCACCTTGTATTTTTCACCATTTCTTAGAATTATCCCTCTATATTATAAAAATGGAAATCGACTTCTGGTGATAAAAATTTGGTACTCGAAATTAAGACTCACAAGGGTCAAAATAATGGTCATGCAGGTCAGAATAAGGGTCACGAGAGTCAGATTAAGGGTCATCAGGATCAAAATAAGGGTCAAGAGGGTCATAAGGATCAAAATAAAGATCACGAGGGGCCAATTAAGGGTCATGAGGATCCAAATAAGGGTCACTAGGGTCAGAATCAGGGTCATGAGGATCAAAATAAGGGTCACGAGGATCAAAATAAGGGTTGCGAGGGTTAGATTAAGGGTCACAAAGGCCAGAATAAGGATCATGCGGGATCATATGGGGATCGTATGGAGGTTTGCGAGCGCCGCGAGCAGGGGGCGTAGCCCCCTAGTTCATTATTAATAATTATAAAATAATAGTCAGGGTAATGAAGACAATGATAAAGTAGGGTAATTAAACTTGTTTTCCATGCACTCACCGAGTGTTCGATAGAAAACGTATTAACTGCATTCCTCATTTTGGTCTCGCTAAGTCTATCCTCTATGAAATTATTCTGCGCGAAGATCACAGTTTCAAGATGCTTGCAGTCCTCGTTCATTTCCCCTTTTACCTGATTCATCTCATCGATCTCCCCGATCTCGACTAGCTTAACGTTCTCAAGGTAATCGTCCTTGAGATCTTGCAGCCTAACTTGATGCCTCCGGATCAACATGTCCATGGTCTCCATGTGCGCCTCCTGCAGCCGCCGATGGTCCATGTCCGCCTTCTCCAGCTCTCCGTACAACTTTCGAATTATCGCATTTTTCAGCGTTAGCGTTCGATCGAAATTCTTCCATAAGTACTCGAGATCCTCGTACAATTCTTTGCATTTTACTTGGCGGAGAATAAACCGCCATTGTTCATTGATTTTTGCGGTGTTGAGGCGAGCGAATGTCTCTTCGCGTTTTAATTTGTTCTTAAAAACACAAAAAATGATTTATAAAATTGCAAAATTTCGTTTTGTAGGGAATGAGTGGGGGTAAGGGGCGGTAAATAGTCGCTCGAGAAATCCAAGAAAATCTCCTGAGAATTATAAAATTAAATTGGCTAGTGTTTCTATTGTTGGATATCAAAATCATCTCTAGATTTATCACCATAAGAGGGAACCGACGCAGCGCGTTGTTTTTCTTTGATTGTCATGGACTGGTTAATCGGAAAGATTGAAAAAAATTGACCTTTCCAATTGAAGTGTATAAAAAATTATAGTAGTTGTTAGAATCTCACAATTATCGAAATTGACAATGAAAACAAATTATTTCCAACAGATGAATTATTTTTCCCATGTTAAAGGGAATTTCCCGTTACGCGACGTTGCTGGAAACTCGCTAAACGCGCACGGGCAGTGTAGTGTGAATTCGGCAACGCTGGCGCCTAAATAACACGACGGCGAATCCCTGCGGAGGCGAGCAAAGTCGCAGGGTCGCGTATGGTGACCAGACTAGGGTTGAATGGTAATGATACCCTTGATATGTGTTAAATTTTATAATCGTCCCCGTGTCCGCCATAGGTTACGATGATTTTTTCCGTATTATACGTTCACTTATCCGTAATTAACGACGAAGGAAAAAATTTAGTTTAAGCGTAAATTACTGTTTTTTCTCGTAAATTACGCTTTAAAAAAAAAAACAAAAATTATGCTTAGCTGAACGTAATTTACTTTTTTTTTGTGGGTCATTACCTCTCAAATAAAATATATTTGACAGGATTTTGTGAGCCATAATATTTTGTTCCTATATTATAATTCAGAAATAAATTTAAATGAGTCATTATTATTTTTCCTTATTTCATATTTTTTAGCTCAAAAAATAATTGACGTCACAATCCGATTTTTAGATTTACCCTTACTTTAGTAAATACTGCTATCAGCTGTTGCTTACGTCGCTTTGCCTCGAGTTCTATTTCCGCTCGGTGGGCGAGATACCGCATTTTCTCTTCTTCGCTCATTCGAGCCATTTTCGAGCCTCCTTTCTTCTTCGGTGGCATTTTTAGTTTTTTCTTCCTTCCTTTGAAATTGCCCAACTATTTCTACGTTTGAAATGCTTTAACAGAGCTTGGGGATGTTTCTGAATACCTGTCAACTGTTGTTTAATCAATAGCGGGCGTGTTTGAATCTCCAGGACTCCCGCAACTCCTCGGGAATGTTAGGAAATATCAAAATTTGCAGAATAAATTGAAGAACAGGTTTTTATTCAATAAAAACATTTCTCTTTTTGAATACAACTGCCAGAAATTTTACTTAAAACATATGTTTTACGTAATAAAAATTAGCTATAATTGCCCGGAAATTTTCTAATGCACCACCGCAGTGTCACCAGAACTGTTGGAAGAACCTCGAACCCTCGCAAATATTTTAAGATTCCACGAAAGTTCCATTAGTATTTCAGGTTGATTTTTAGATCCTCTTGAGCCCGGGATATTGTCAGTATTTCCCAAGAATCTTCGGAAAAATTCTACAATTTTATTCTTGAATAGTTCATCGGGTATTTTTATATGAAAAAATATATTTCACATAATAAAATTTTTCTATAATTCTCGAAAATGTTATAATGCACGACTACAGTGCCACCAGAAACATCGGGAGGTCCTCGAAGCCTCGCAGATATGTCATTATCCTGCGAATGTTTCCCATTGTTTCACCACTAAGTCTTCCAAACACAATAAACAATGGCTGTGAAGAAAATCGTCTTCCACTCCTCAAGAATGTTAGAACACATCCACGTGTCCAGAATTACTCGAAGAACGCGTTCCTATTCGATGAAGTTTTTTCTCTCTTCGACGAGAAACTTTTCCGTCTCTTCATGGCGCCACTCTGTGATGAAGTCAATCTGAAGTCACGTTGAAATCATGTGAATTCATTGAAGTCATCGAAATCACTGAAATCAAGCGATTTCAACTCTCTGAAATCATTTCTGTAATCATGCCGAAGTCTTGAAGCCGTGCCGAAGTCATGAAATCACACCGAAGTCATTTGAAATCAATTAAATTAACCGGCGCAGCGTACTGTGGCTAACGTACCGCGTTGACGTACGTAGTAAATAATATATTCATCGAGCTGTGACGAAAAGTGAACTTTTCGGCACGCTCCGCATGCCTAAAAGTCCAATTTCCGCCACATTGTGATGAAAAATATTGTTCGTAACTCGTGAAAAAAGGTTTTTTGCACCCGTTGGTTGACTTTCTAGACTCTCACCCCGAGGGATGCCCTATTGAATTCCTGAGAGTTAAGATACAGCTGAGAACCACCACAATATTCACTAGAAGGATAACAATCAACCGAATTAACTACCAGTTGGATCCAACCCAAATCTGCATCCTCTGCTTTACCTATAGTCCTGAAAATATCTCCCATATCCTCTTTACCTGCCCTTATTATCACCCACTGAGACTCCACTACCTCCCAAACTATCTCCACAAACCTGTAGCCATTTCTATATCCCGCATGTCGGCGTTCTTCAACTCAAATAGTTACAGAGATACAGAAATTCTATATTGCTATTTAAAGAAATGTTTTCAGATGAGATCCCTGAAACTCAACGACTGATAAACCCTAGATAAATGGATGTCTCTACCATCGACAAAATCCCAATGCTGAACCTTACGATTGTTCAGCCTGGAGACTGTCATGTCACGAGCCACTTGAAGTCATTGATTTTGTTTTTTCCCCAAATCACGTGAAGTCGACTTCATTTCAAAGTCATGGTGTCACTCAATCAGGTAGTGAATAGGCCCTCGAGAAATATATATATCGCGTAGTAAAAATTGTCTATCATTATCGAGAAATTTTCTAAGGTACCACCACAGTGTCACCATTCCGAGGAACTTGAAGTGTCGCAGATATTTCGATATCCTTGGAGTGATCTCCATTATTGCACCACGAATCTGCGAAAAAATAACCGAGGGGTAGAAATTAATTAAATAATTAATTAATAATGAATGAATGCTGAAAATTCTTGACAAAAAATTCTGGATTGGATCATTTGAAAAGAAAGAAATGAAAAAACTGGAAAATTAAACAGCGCCAAAGTAAAACGTTTATAAGATGAAGCGATTAATTCAAGGAGAGGAATAATAAACAACGCAGAGTTTATTTCAATAAGTTGTAACGAAACTACAGAGGTCAGAATTGAACCACATCTCGACACTTTGTCAGGGGAAGGAACGGGAGAACAAAACCGGGGATTCCCAGAAATGTTCATGATTTTATAGTCCATACTCTAGGTACCATTTAGTATTTCCATGTTTACGAGTGCACTCGATATTTTTTCATGTTTTTTGTTTACGAGACCGACCGCGCGCTAAAGCGCGCTGTAATTATAAAAATCATGATTGAACATTTCAAAATTGAATGAGTTCTGAGTTCAAATTAGCCGCCTCAGACGACTGTGAACCAATGAGGAATAAGCGTGACAGAGTTTCGAGATATCGATAGTCTCGATGTTTGTCCTTTTTATAATAGGATTAATTCATTATTCATTATTTCATTTTGTGCATTCAAAATAATTTATCACTTGAAAATTTTTATCTACCTCCCATAGTTTCAGTAGAGAAACGGCGCAAGTCGATTTTGACTATTGGCCAATTTTCAATGAATATCTTGGGATTTAACGGAGATGGCAATATTTTTGTAATGACCTTTTTCGTAGCCCTCAATTCACTCTATAAAAAAGGTCCTTACGGTAATTTTGATATCTCCCTTAGATTTGACGATATTTCCCGAAAACTCAGCTAAGAGGTAAATTGGCTTGAACCGTTTTATCGTTTCGCTACTGGTTTGGTTGCCAGGACGATTCAACCAATTAAAATGTTAATAACAAAGAGAACGCCGAATTTTTTGAAGAAAATTACCAACAAATTCAAAATCAGCGATCCAAAAAACATAAATTCTACATATCAAAACTCGTCGCGGACTCCGAAATTGATACAGGATCAGCATCAGCATATCTCTATATTATAACAATCTAAGACAATTTTGGTGATGAAAATTTCGTACTCGAAATTAAGACTCCAAAGTTGAAGAGAAACTACTTCCATGGAAAAATATATAAAAAATACGTATAATATAAGCCAATTTGATATATTCTCCGAAAGTACACAAGAGTTATATAAAATATCTATGAAACCCATAAATTTATATTTTATATAACACTCATATGTGAATATCAGGCCAATTTCATAGATAAAATATATAATTTTCAGAATATATATTTTTCCGTGTGGGTAAGGGTCATGGGGAGTCATGGGGGTTGGCAAATGGAGCGAGCAGGGGGCGTAGCCCCCTAATGGACTAATAATTCTCAACAACCTCGGAAATAATATTTACCACATTACTGACGATTTCATGAAAAATCTCAGACGTTAGAAGGTCAACCACTGACGCAGCAGTGTCGATGAATGCCATAGGACCTACACTAACAGAAAAAATTAATTTTATCAAGAGAATTTTATTTGAACCAACTATCATTTGGTTGTTAATTTTTAAATACATGATTTCATAGTGAATACTAGTTATCTCTTCTTGAGATACATTTGATTGGGAGAAATCGAACTTCTCTAGACTTGAAGTTCCTTTTATTTGTCGCAATAATGAGAGTATTTGATTTCTTTCTAGCCAAAAGTTTGCTGACTCCAGAAATTCGTTGGTTCACTCAAAAATCAAAATTATTCTCATGACGAAATACGTTGATATTTCAATCACCACGACCATACGTTGTTCCAAGTAAATTATAATTGAAGTGAGCATTTCGTATGTCAAATTAGGATGAATATTGTTACGCGGAAAAAGCCTTGAGATTGTAGTAAGATGTCATTGAGTTGAAAGAAGTTTATATTTCTTGAATAAAAAAAATCGCATTAGGTAGTTTACAATAACAGAATCACAGATTACGGCAATTCTACCCAAACTTGGATATCACAAATTTCGTTCAATGTGATGTACGGAAAGCTCAATTTAAACATCGGCTTCATTCGAGAAAACAACATTCAATTCATTCCTGAATGTAATCATCTCCTAAGTACGAATTTTTGATCATTTCATGAAAGTCGAAAATTTCTCGACTGGAGATTAAATTAGGTTTAAAAAAATAGAACTCTTCCATCTTTGTGGTGAATACATGTAACTTGACACCACGGACTGTTTTATTTGATTCAAATAAATCCATCTCAAGAAGAAATAATTGATATTCACCGGAAGATCTTATTTATTTAAAATTGGTTCAAGTAAATAATACTTGTTCCAAGAAAAAAACAGCTCAATAAAAATAATTTTTTCTATTAGTGTATCGCACTTCGATAGTCCTTCCACGAATTTTTCAAATCACTATTATCACTTTTTACACGAAACATTATGATCTGGAGGCTGCGGCTATACCTGACTGCTCTCCATCGCTGATAATCACCTTTGAATTGAAGCCCAAAGTACGAAGGAGAATACGAGACTCTTCATCAACGAATGAAAGTTGCTCGATCGTTTTCCTCTTCTGCAGCTAACGATTGTATCATTTATGAGATGTCTCATCGTGATACTTCATTATGCATTATCGAAAAATCTGTTGTGACCAGGGTCCGGGACTTCGTGTGATTACGGCTGTTATCAACGATCATTCAATTGTCATTGATATTCGTGATTACGATTGTCAATGACATTTCGATGATTATTGATAGCAGTCGTAATCACAAGAAGTCCCGATCCGTCATGCCTAAAAAAATAAGGTTTCCGAAAATGTCAATAATTTGTATTATTTGTTTATAAATAACGAATATAAAAAAATAATCATTTTGTGCAAAAAGTGTAATTTTAATGACACTGAATATTCATGATTTTTATTGAATTTTTCTTTTCCCGATTTTTGCACAAGTTAGAGTGTGTACAAGCATTTCAATTGAAAAACAGGAATATCTCGAAAACTTTTTATGGATGACTTGTGACGTTTAAACCAGATTAAACTAATTATTTCACTAAACTTTCAAATTAGTTTCCCAAAATAATCCAGTTTCAACGGTCTTGTTGACTTAAATCACGTACAAGGTGGATTTTCCACAGTAGATGCCTTTTGGCATTAAATTATTATTATTTATACTTACTTACTATTTTTGTTCGGGCCAAAGTATTATTAAATTCCATCAGAATTATTATTTTATCAATTAATATTCGATAATTAAATCTGTTCGGGCTAAATTATATTTGGTCGGGCTATTTTCTATTATTTGGGATCTACGATTCATTCATGACCCTCTGAGATAGGATTACACGAAGAGAATAAAATTTTTTTAATGGATTTTCAGTGCTGATTTATTTTTATAAAAAATAATTTGGTTCGTTGAGAATTCGTTCCCATCAATCTTGTTGTTTATAAAAATTGATCAAGCGATCGGCTTCACGCCACCCCGATGATATAGCTCCATGCACAGTACTATAATAATCTGGCTCAGTAGCTTCCCCAGCAAATTGGATCACAGGCCTGTCATTCCGTGTCACAGGGGTCCCCAATTCCTCAGGACTTGCGTTATTGGCTACAGAAGCGAGGGAAGGGTAACTGTAAGTGCCCCTGAAGTTCTCATTGGTGTTCCAGCGGGTCCTGATGATGTCCTTGGGCTGCGTGAGATTGTGGGATTTGCCGAAGAATCTTTCGATGAGTTCGAGCGTCTGATTTTCGAAGAGTTCGTCAGGAATTTTCTCCATCTGCTCGCAGTAGAGGCCACTCATCCAGAGTAATAAGACCTTTGGCTTGTACTCGACGGGGAGGGAGTAGCCGACACCCAGCATCCAGATTTTTTCGGGCTGAAATATGGGATGAATATTCCAATCCAATAAATTAATACACATAGGGGAGAGTGAGGAAAATGAAACAGTGGAGCAAAATGAAAAATTCGAAAAACGGCTGTTTGATGCAATTCAAGCAGAAAAAACTTTTTTATCCACTTTTTTTTTTACTACAGGGCTACGCCTCCTGCTTGCCCTGTACGTCAACCCCCATCTTTCTTATTCTGACCATTGTGACCCTTAATCTGACCCTCGTGATCCCATTATGACCCTGATACCTGATATCCTTAATCTGACCCTCTTGACCATTATTCTGACCCTCGTGACCCTCATATCCTTTATTTTGACTCTCTTGACTCTTATTCTGATCCTTGTGACCCTTATTCTGACCTTCACGACCCTGATTCTGAACTTCGCGACCCTCATGATCCTTATTCTGGCCCTCAGGACCCTGATTTTGAACCTCGTGACCCTTATTTTGACTCGTACCAAATTTTTATCAATCGAAGTTGATTTGGATTTTTATAATATAGAGAGATTAACTTTTGTTTATCAACTTTTTTATATTAATGGGAGTACTGCAGAGAATGACAATTTTCCATTCAGCAGAATGGAAAATTATTGAGAAATTTTGACGGGAGAAGATTTTATCAATGGATTAATTGAAAAGAAAATGAAACTGGGGCACATTCCTGATCCTTGTGACTATTTCTTTTTTTTTCTAGGTTAAAATATCCAGCGATCGGGATTTGACGGCCATCAAATAATTCCATACAAGTGTCATTATCGGATGGAAAAATTAAGTGTACCCTTATCATTTTATTTTTTAAGCAATATTTAATTAAAAGTGAAATCGGTCATCTATTGGGGGGAAATTGGGGGTGTCCATCTATTGGTGGTGTCACCCTAGTGGACGTTGAGATCGAGATCTAACAGGGGAGTGGGATTCATCTGTGGAGGTAGTCGATACGCTACATAGGGCTTTCGAATATCAGTGATTTTTTCCCACCGCATGTTCTTTTCTACCGCATAGATAATTATTATTCTCATCAGTACTCCCAATAATGAAAAAAGTTGATAAACAAAAGTTGATAAAAAAAATTTTTTTGCTTGAATTGCGTCAAATAGTCGTTTTTCGGCTGTTTCATTTTGTCCCGCTCTTCTCTATTGAATAATCGAGCTTCTTACATCATTTTCAATTTCCTTCCTGTCCGCTTCTGTCCATATGAGTAGACTGATCGCATACTCAGTAGTATCCCACCAGGGTTCGTCGTAGTACAAGAATATTTTGGCGTTCCTTCCGAAACCCAAACCCTACCAACGAAGTTATTAAGTAAATAATCAATCGTCAATGTTAATCAATATGCGTCCATATGCATTTGTGATTCTTCCCTTCTTTCTCTTCAGTTCGAAAAATACCTGAATTGAATTCCTGTTTTTCTCCGGTAAAGCTGGCTCGAAAATTTTTTCATGATCAGCCTTCAGAACTCCGAGAGAAATTGTACTAATCACATGATCAGCTGTGAATTCACTCCCATCGGAAGTTGTTATTTTTATCGGTCCATCACCATTATATTTTATTTTAGTTACTTGTTTATTCAACAGGGTCTTATTCGCGATGGGCAATTCCTCCTCTGCATTCGGAATTTTTTTCTGGAAACGCGGTAAAATCAATCATTGCGGCGAAATGTCAATTTCGACTATTGGTCAGTTTTCAATGAATATCTCGGAATCTAAGGCAGATAGCAACGTTTTTGTTATAACTTTTTTTGTAGCCCTCAAATCGCCCCACAAAAAATGTCATTACGAAAATTTCGCTATCTCCCTCAGATCGGGAGATATTCCTCGAAAAAGAGCTACGTCGACTGGAATAGTTTTACCGCTTCGCTACTGAAATTACACTATTAGAAATTTTTTGAAATTTCGTAGAAAATATTATAGTAATTCTCATGAGAGTGACATTGAACCGGATTTTGGGGAAAAATGATTATGAAATTTCAAGTTTTAGGTAGAATTTAAAGAATATCATGAATTTTCAGTGGGAGTGAGATGGAAATTTCACAACTTCATTGAATTTTCAATGGCACATTAATATTCAGAAACAAAATGACATGAATCTTAAATTTTTCCCTGAATTTTTCGGTTTTCTCTGAATTTTCGCGGAATAATTTAGCTGAAGAATCAAATACTTCGTTGATTTTCTGCTCGAATGATTTGAAAATCAATAAAATACTTGACTTTTCAGTTGAATTATTCCATGAAAATTTAGAAAAATCATAAAAATTCAGGGAAAATTTGAAGATTCATGTCATTTTGTTTCTGAATATTCATGTTCCATTGAAAATCAAATATTTCGATGATTTTTTGGTCAAATGATTTGAAAATCAATAAAATACTTGACTTTTCAGTTAAATGATTCCGTGAAAATTTAGAAAAATCAGAAAATTTCAGAGAAAAATTGATGATTCATGTCATTTTGTTTCTGAATATTCATGTTCCATTGAAAATCAAATATTTCATTGATTTTCTGTTCAAATGATTTGAAAATCACTAAAATACTTGATTTTCCAATGACAATATTTCCTGAAATTTAAGTGGAAATCAAACACGATAAAAATTTCCAGGATTTGATACGGAAAATTCAGACGACAATTTTTAACAGTGTACTCAGGATTTTCAACGAACCATCAGGATTTCCAAAACAGTGTTATACGTTCGATCCTTCCAGTTGACAGCTTGATACCCTCTCGCACCAACGTACTCTTGCGTTCTTTTCAACGAGAGATCGTTCAAATCCGCTGCCCCCTCTGATGCCATTATTGCTAATTTAGCGGCATGCGTTAAACCTTGCCGCAAATCGGGAGTAATTTCCTCTGTATGGTTACCATAATATTCATTAATCCTGCAATAATTATTATAGAATCGGCCTCTCATTTAATTGCAAAAACAATCTCATTTCCACAGAAGCGGATCAAGTCGTTAGCTCGTACTCGAGAAATATCTCCGAATCTAAAGGAGATAGCGAAATTTTCATAATGACCTTTTTTGTAGAGAGAATCAAGCGCTACAAAAAAGGTTTGTTTGAAACGCAACTAAAATTCCAGAACATTCTGGTCGACCATCGGCCTACTTCGAAAATCTCCGGGACCCTTCGGGTCATCAGTCATAAGTCACCGAAACACGCGCGAATCAGTTTAGGCTTAGCCTCTCACCGTACAAGTCTATCTCGGGCAAATCACCTGTACAAGTTTTATATCGCACCTCACCGAGTACAGTAGCTCTTTGAACCTCACCTAACTCACTAGTAATCAAGTACATCACCGGTCTTTGTAAGATCACCGTTTTGTTCAGTACATCACCTCTGTTGATTAAATTCAGCCTAAAGTCAGTGACTCAACGAATTTACAGTGAAAGACAATCATCAATTTAATTAGACATTCAACTATTAAAATTTCCAAAGAGTGTAAATAGTTTTGACAAAGTGGTTCGATCCCACAAAATAAAGTGTGGTTTTTAAATCCGGCTCATCAGTAATTTTCCCAACAACTCCCTCCACATTTTCATCCCACATCCACCCTAAATTTAGTCATTCACCAAACAAGATCATTACAAAAACTTTGCTATCTCCCTTAGATTCCGAGATATTCATGAAAAACAGCCATTAGTCGAAATCCACTTGAACCATTTTACCACTTCGCTACGGAATTTTGTGGATTAATAATGGAAATTCACTCACTTGTTGTCTACATATTCCCCGAAAGATCCATTCTTTACTTTCTCAGCCCCCGTTGGATCATCAGAACAGGCAATTGCAAAAGTAAAAAAGTCACCTCCAAGTTGTTTCATTACTGCTTCACCCGCGGATGTATAATACCGATGGATGAAAGGCTCTTCCTCCGTTCGCCCTGGGCCAACGGCTTTCGATAAGAGTCCGAAGGGTGCCGCAAGATCATAAGCTGCATTATCTTTCTCTCCGTGCACCCATTGACCGCCCAAATCAATTAAATATTCTCCTAGTAATTCAGTAACGAATCGGTAAAATGATTCAAGTCAATTCGACTATTGATCAGTTTTCAATTAATATCTCGGAATCTAAGGCAGATAGCAAAATTTTTATCAGAACCTTTTTTGTAGAGTGAATGGAGGGTTACAAAAAAGGTAATCACGAAAATTTCACTATCTCCTTTAGATTCCGAGATATTCTCCAAAAACTCAGCTAAGAGCTAGTTCTCAGCTGAGGGCTAATTCTGAATGAATATCTCGAAATCTAAGGGCGATAGCAAAATTTTTGTCATAACCTTTTTGGTAGCCCCCTATTTACTCTATAAAAAAGGTAATTACAAAAATTTCGCTATCTCCCTTAGATTCGAAGATATTTCTCAAAAACTCGGCTGAGGGCCAAGTCGACTTGAACCGATTTACCACTTTGCTACTGAATTGACAAACGCCAAATTAAAATAATCTACTGATTTGGCAAATCGATAAACTTCTTGATATTGATATCTCGATGGAATTAATCATCATACCAAATTTCGCGCTGTACACTCGACCCCCGAATCTCCCCTCCGCCTCCAAAATAGTGACGTCTGTTATTCCATTCTGAAGTAATTTGGAAGCGGCTGCAATCCCGGAAGATCCAGCCCCTACGATGATAACTTTCGGATCTTTTCCCTCGGAAGTCACTATCGACATACAAAGGAGCACTACCAGCGCTCTCATTCTGACTACTGATTCCAATAGTGACAACTGCGGACAGTTGAACGAATGAATCTTTTTATAGAGCAAACCCTTCCATTATCTTTCATCAGCCTGAAAGCGAATGCTTAAGTAATCACAACGAGTGGAGTCAGATCGGATGGCTCTTTCATGTTCTAAATCCTATCTACTACTCTACTGGGAGTGGAAATCCGCAGGAAACTTTCTTTCCGAATTTTTGAACTGGCGCGCCGTAAAAAACAAGTGGGAAATTGCTCTTGTATTGCGTATAGTACAGTTATTTTTATTAATAAATTAGCAATGTGCTTCCGAATGGTTATTTTGCACATCATTTGCTTCTATCATGTATAATTCATTGTTTACTTCATTTTATTAAATTGAATAAGATTTATTTTCAACTAATTTTGTCAGATTTTTAACTTAGTTGAATGTTATCATCATCATTATTCTTATTATGCCTCTCTTCTATACAAACGATTGTCTTTTTTACGGTTCTATCTCTCCCCTCAGCTCTTCGATAACATGTTAAGAGAAAAGTTTTATTTATACATACTTGAATGAATTTGAAACATCACATTTGAAGAAACCATCAGAACTCACTTTCAGGGAAATTCATGAAAAATTCGAAATTTTCAACAATCATAAAAATCAAATCAACCAATATAGCTATCGTAATCATCTTTTAACTGAGATTTAATTGCATTAAAACAAACATTTTAAGCTATGATTGGATTCATTTGAAGCATGATATTCACAGATATCCCCGGAATTCTGATTTTCAAAAAATATAAAATTTTTGCAAATTTTCAAATAAATCAAAATAACGATTATTGCTATCGCCTTCATCTTGGAACTCGGTCAAAAGGACATCCAAACAAATTTTTTAAGCCATGATTCAATCAATGCAGAACACTTTTTTAGTTATCGTGGGACAACCGATTTTCGAAAAAATTAAAAAATTAAAAAACTGATTAATGAATTAATTTTGAATTAATGGCGATCGATGGGGCTCAACAATACTTATATTTGAGAAAAAGGGATGATTAATTCCACGCCACACACATACATACGTGCGGACACGGTCTGGAAATTGCATTTTCCGACTTTTTGGATCATAATGGGTCGATATAACACAAAAAATTCAAAACTTAAATTTGAACGATTACAATGCTTCAATGATCCAATAAACTTTTCAAAAATACAAATACAAAGCCTGATGAGCCAAAAAAAAAGTTTTTCAAAGTGCATGACAAAATAATTCTTTTTTTCCCATCATTAATTCTTTTTATAATGATTAATCAACCGATCAGCTTCGCGCCATCCCGACACAATAGCTCCGTGCACAGTACTATGATGTTGCGGCTCAGTAGCCTCTCCAGCAAATTGAATCACAGGCTTATCATTCCGTGGCACAGGTGTCCCCAAGTCCTCAGGACTCGCGTTATTGACAACGGAAGCGAGGGAAGGATAACTGTAAGTGCCCCTGAAATTCTCATTGGTGTTCCAGCGAGTCCTGATGATGTCCTTGGGCTGCGTGAGATTGTGGGATTTACCGAAGAATCTTTCGATGAGTCCGAGCGTCTGATTTTTGAAAAGTTCGTCAGGAATTCTCTCCATCTGCTCGCAGTAAGGGCCACTCATCCAGAGGAAAAAGAGCTTCGGTTTGTACTCGACTGGGACAGTGTAGGCGACGCCCAACATCCAACTTTTTTCGGGCTGAAATATCCAATGATTATTTCAGTAGCGATGTGGTAAAACGGTTCAAGTCGATTTGACTATTGCCCAGTTTTTAGTGAATATTTCGGAACCTAAGGGAGATAGCTAAATTTTTATCAAGATCTCTTGTTTGAACCGACGTCGGTGGCCGAGTGGATTAGACGCCTCCATGACCAGTTTTCCTCACCAATTTCTAGTCTCCTTCAACCTCCTCATGAGAAATCACAAACACATATAACCCATGATACAGTCATTCCACTTGAAATTAAAAAGAAGTTAAGTTGAGAAAGAAGTTAAGTAGAACACAAGATTATGTATCCTACGTTTTCTCATGTTTTTTCCGCAGACATTAAGAATATCAGTGTAAAACCATATGTATAAATATTTGGCTAAATAAACATGTTTTATAAAAAATAAAAAATAAAGTGGATTAGACGCATTTCTAGTGTGCGAAAGGTTGTGAGTTCGATTTCCCGTGGAACCGAATTTTTCAACGGAAGGCTCCGGCGAGCGGGAGGTCGCTAATAGAGGAATCGCCTTTACCGGCATGGGTTTTCTGGGGTTTCCCCATGTTACTTCTATGTTCTATAGGAGTGCGAATGCGATACAGTGTAGAATCTACAGCCGCATGCATAGAGTTGGATAGAGTGCCGAATGGGACACGAAAGGGACTCCGGACTTTTGGCCAGTTTTTGATGAATATCTCGGAATCTAAGAGAGATAGCAAAATTTTTCTCATGACCTTTTTTAAAAACCTCAATTGGCTGTACGAAAAAGGTCATGACAAAAATTCTTCACTCTCGTTCAGATTCCGAAATATTCGTCAAAAACTAGCCAATAGTCATCATCGACTTAACCCGGTTTACTGTTTCGCTACTAAAATTAAGGGGAGACTACTAGAAGTTTTTAATGTCGCGGGCTATTGGAGTGAGATTTTTCATGCATTGCCGATCGATTATATGTGTCTAAAAACGAATAATTAGTGCAAAACAATTAATTGTTTATTGTTCGTTTGCCCTGCAGACGTTTAAGATGTTAAAAATAGTCCAGGGCCTCCAATTTTTGTGCTACAGAGTTTTTTTCATAATTTTTGGAAAAATATGTACAATAACAATTACAAATTAGATCGTGTTTCTTACATCTTCGATTTTTCCGAAGTCGACTTTCGGCCTGGAAAAACCAAATACCATCCTCTTTGGCCCCGGGTGAAAAGTCAAATTTTTTATTTCGACAGATCTGACGCCACGGAGTGTTTCACTGACCTCAGAATCGTTAGTAGATACGGAATCAACGTTCACTTGGCGCAAAAATTCGATTTCGACGAAGAAACTTATAATTTTTGAAAAAATATGTACAATAACAATTACGAATTAGATTTTGTTTCTTACGTCATTTTCGATTTCTTTTCTGTCTTCTTCGGTCCACGTGAGTATATTGATTGTATACTTCGTAGTATCCCACCAGGGTTCGTCGTAATACAGAATGATTTTGGCATTCCGTCCGAAACCCCAATTCTGGAAATGGAGTAGTTGAAAAAGTCATCAGTCATTACTATTTATTCATTTGAAATTTAAGAAACAGATGCATTTGAATTTTCAATATTCGGAACTTCAATTCAATTTCAGACAAATTGCTCATGGAATTCCTGATTCATCTTGGAAATTCAATAAAATTGAGTTTTTCATTATGAATGATCTTTGAATTTTCAATGACAATTTGGATTTTCACACCTATGGCGAAAAATAAGCATTACATTCAATTGAGTTTTCAAGAGATTACAAATTCAAAAGAAAAGTCGTCGGAATTTTCACAATTTTCAGGAATTTCCATTGCCGTATTTATACGATAATGTTGTGTTGTGGTTATGCGGCAGTTCTTTTGCACTTCTCTGATAAAATTTATATTTATCGAGTTATAATTTTTTTAAAAATTATCTACTTGGTCCAACCTAAAAATTTTGATTTCGCATAACTTTCAAAAAATTTTTTTTCTAATATTCCAAGGCATGCTTGGACCATTTCTATATATCATATTCAATTTTCAGGGAAATCGAAAAAAAGTCGATTGAAATAGTATGGAATGCCCCATAAACCTGAAAAATCGAACTTCATTGAGTATTCAAGAAAATTGACTGATTTATGAATTACAAGATCAATGGAAATTCCATGTAAATTACTCGTTGTTAAAAATTTCAAGATTTTTTACTTGAAATTTCAAGAGTAATTTTCTGACCGTATGTACGGACTATTGGAAAGGGGTTTAGTACTTTTGGTCCAAAAACCATTCGTCCAGTATCTTTTCGTCCAATGGATTTTCGTCCAAAATCACTCAGTCCAATGACCCAAATCGTGCAAAAACCTTTTCGTCCAAAATCCACTTGGTCCACCACAATAAACGTCCAATAATAAAAAATAGAAAAATAGAAACTACTACATTCTAACAATCAATGTACATGAATATTCTCAAGACATATACGAAAATAGTAAAACATAATGATGAACATGATTCGATAATGATATTTTAATTACCACCATCACAATTTTCATAAATTATTTAAATGAATTTCCTCAATTGTTGTTCCGTAATTTTCTCATGAGAGCAGTTTTTATGTTAATTATTAATATATTCTACTATCAGTGAGTTCATGTTCAAATTTAATTGTGTTCACAGACGTCGAGTTTTTTCATGTTAATTGTTAATGTCTTGTACTTCCATTGATCGTGTTACAACAGTAAAGTCTGAGTTGATATATTGATTAAATTATGTGCCCGCATTACATGTTTTTTCATTTTTCCCCGGGATTGGACGAACAAAATTATTAGACCAAAACAAAATTGGACCAAATGAAGAATGGAAGAAAAAAATTGGACGAAATGGCATTGGACCAAAAGATATTGGATCAATGAACATTGGACGAAAAGTACCGGTCCCATTGGAAAGATACCTCAATTGACTTCCTGTTCTTCTCTGGCAACGCTGGCTCGAAAATCTTCTCATGATCTGCCTTGAGGACTCCCAGCGAAGTGGTACTAATCACATGATCAGCTGTGTATTCACTCCCATCGGAAGTCGTTACTTTTATCGGCCCATCACCGTCATACTTTATTTTAGTGACTTTTTTATTTAACAAGGTCTTGTTCATGATGGGCAGTTCCTCCTCGGGATTCGGAATTTTTTTCTAGACACGTTATGATATCCATCATTCAGGGGTAAATTCGTATCATCATTTGTCAACTCACCATGAGGATATCCAAAATAGTATGATACGATCGATCCTTCCAGTTGACTACTAGATACCCTCCACTACCTTTGTACGCTTGTGCTTTTTTAACGTCGACATCGTTCAAATCTGCTGCCCCCTCCGCTGCCATGATTGTTAATTTTAAGGCATGTGTCAAGCCTTTACGGAGGTTGGGCGCAATTTCCTCCGTGTGATTATTGTAATATTCGTTGAGTCTGGAATGATTATTCCATCAATCTCCGATTTTCATTGAAAAAAAAAGGAATTCAGTAGTGAAGCGGTAAAACGGTTCAATACCTCCGAATCCACGGGAGGTAACGAAATTTTCGTAATGACCTTTCTTGTAGAGTGAATGGAGGACTATAAAAAAGGTCATGATAAGAATTTTGCTATTTCTCTTAGGTATCGAGAAATTTCAATCGGATGATTTTTACATTTTAGATCACCTGGAAATCGGGAAAATCACAAAATACGAAAAAATCTAATCAGTCAACTTGCTTTTATTCGATTTGTTTTTCTCGATTGCCGGGTGATCTAAAATCTGAAAATCATCCGATTAAAATTTCCGTCTGTATCAGATTGAATGGGCGTAGGTGGGTCACAACATATTTTTTTTAGTGACCACACATGTGAGAAAAATCTCACGAAGGCCATTTTTTTTTGTTTTCAAATTTCAGTAGGGCCTCCCCTCGAGTTTTACTCCAGTACAGGCTTCGTATAAGATACCTCTCTATAAGATACCTCGAGGGCCGAGCGCTCGAGGCCTACCCCCACTCTCGGCACTTTTATCGCCTCCCGAATGTTTATGTTCCGTGGGCTTCTTATAAGATACATATGGCCCCGGTCATTTTTCAACGGGAAGAGAGTAGTTATAAGGATCAAACGGTGTTAAGGGTCAAACGGGAGGGGCGAACGAAGTGATCATGAGGGTCTAATGACCTTAAGGGGGGCTCACACCACTTTTTTCAAGTAATGGAAATATACATCGATTTTTTTTTTCACTTTTCCCATCGAAAAATCGTAATTTTTCGTCTGTGATTATTCTCGAGTGCACCAACAATCCCCCAACATCAGCTGCCATTCTATCACGCAGGGTCATGTTTAGAGATAAAAGAAAACGCGGGCTCTGCACGGAGAGAAATATTCAATAAAAATTACCAGAAAAAAGACGTAAAAATTACGTTTCGAAACGTAATCTGGGAGCGAAGCAAAATTCAATAAAAAGTGTCAATCGTCACATAAATTCTACGATCTGTTCCGTAAAAATTACTCATCCGTCCGACGCCTCATGGCTATAGCCATGAATCACCGTGAGGGGGAGATTTTAACAACACGTTACGTAATTTTTCCGGAACTTTTCGTAAAAATTCTTAAACATCCAAGAATTTTCATGTTCTGAGGCATAATAAGTCTTGAAGTTTCTGTTAGATTTTACAACTTCTAGAGAAATTACGTGACTTTTTCGTATTTTTTCGGTGACAGACCCGAACATTTACTGAACGATCCAGATTTATTCTCTTATATTCCAATAGAAATTCACTGAAAACGATTCTCGCTTGCGGATTACATGAAATGTTCTGTAATTTTTCTTGAATATTTCTCTCCGTGTACAAATTCAAAACATTAAACACATAAATTGATTAGTTATCGATATTCATTCAGTAAAAATGAAAATTTCATTGAATTCGGGCGCAACGAGCGAGGTATCTTATTTGAAACCCGCTGATCCCTATTTTTCTCCTCTCTATGGGCGCGCGTAGTGGGGGCATAGGGGTTCCCGGAATTCCACTCTACTACTGTCCCTAAGGTATCTTATACGAAGCCTCTACTGTATTAAATTTTCCTGTCCGTGGTTTCATGCTTTTTTTATATTGAAATTTGATATTGTATTGACATTGAATTTACTTATTGTCTACGTGTTCCCCGAAAGATCCAGTCTTCAGATTATCAACTCCCGTGGAGTCTTCAGTACACCCTATAGCATAGTCGAAATATTCGCCCCCAAGTTCTTTCATTATAACTTCGCCGCCCGATGTTAAGTAACTATGACTCAGTGGCTCTTCATCGGGTCGCCCTGGACCTATGGCTTTTGATAAAAGTCCCAAGGGCGCAGCAAGGTCATACGCTGCATTATCTCGCTCTCCGTGAACCCATTGACCACCAAGGTCAATCCAATATTCTCCTGACAATTCAAAAACACTGAATGAGAATTACTAATTGTGTGTCATCAATTTGATACGTTTGATACAATTTGATACAGCCGTAAGAATAAGTGGATATATATTGTTCACAATAAAATTATCACATTCGCACACCTTTGATTTTGAGATGGAATCACTATTTTTTTCGAATGCTTCTGAAAACCGTAGAATTTTCTCGATTTTTTTTTCGAAATGTCACAAATTTTTTTGGAATTTTCATAACACCTGGGAATTTTTTTGAAGTAAAAAAAGTGGTATTTTCTCAAAATTTTTGAGACCGCTCCAAATTTTTTTCAATGTAGAAAAGCTTTTTTCTGTACTTCCGAAACACGCAAAATTTCTAGAATTTTATGGAAAAATTTTCTAGAATTTTTAGGAGGTTTCAAGATTATTTTGGAAATCCTTGGGGTTTCTCTAGTGTTCTAAAAACCATCGCATCATACATGGAAAAATTTAATAGAAAACCTAGCCAATTCGCTACAGAATTCTATTGGATTTCTATTGAACTTTCTATTAGTTTTTGGTCAATTCGATTAAAATGTTCATCTGGAGAAAATTGTATAGAAAAAGTCAATAGAATTCGATTTTTCTACATAACTTATAGTATTGAGATATTCTCTATAGCACAACCGAAGCTCAAATTTTCGAAGCTTTCTGTTTGATTTTCTTGATGAAAAGAAAAGAAAAATAGAATGAGAAAAACTTTGAAGCCGAGGAAATTCTATACAAAATATCTCATTAGAATAAGTTGTATAGAAAAGTCGAATTAAAAAATCGAAATGGCTTTATCTATAGAATATTTTCTATTGAACATTTCAATAGAATCGGCCAAAAAATAATAGAAAATTCAATGGAAGTTCAATAGAATTGTCTGGAGAATTCCGAGGTTTTTCTACTAAATTTTGTCATACGTAATTTCTTAAAATTTTCTCAGAAAGTATGAATTTTTTCAAATTTTCTCGAAAACCGGAAAATTTTCCCGAATTTTCTAGCAAAATCACCAATTTTTTAGAATTCCCAGAGATGTCGTTGCGGCATAAAGACTCTTTTATCCACCTCAAAAATACATATTCCCCACATTCACTAGATGCAGACCCACATCTTGATATCAAGCTCTCGACGAAATTGTCATACCAAATTTTGTACTGTACACTCGACCACCAATTCTCCCCTCTGCCTCCAGAATCGTCACATCAGTTATTCCATTCTGAAGTAATTTAGAAGCCGCTGCGATGCCGGAAGCTCCAGAGCCTACGATAATAACTTTCGGATCTTTTCCCTCGGCGAAAACTTTCGAAATGCAAAGGAGAACTAGTAGAGCCCTCATTCTCACCAGAATTTCAATCAAGACAGCTACAGACACTAGAATGATGGAATCGTTTTATGGAACAAACACTTTTATCATAGTTGATCTGTATGACCATGAATGGTGAACTATCCAATCATGTCGAGTGGAGTCAAAGATCGAGATGTTCACTCATTTTTCGGTAATGAGTATCCGTATCAATACATAATGGATACACAGTAGGATATGGAATTTTACCATTTCATTCGCCGGGCGAATCGTCTTCAAAAGTTTGCATCTGCTTCGAATAAGAAAATAAATTGGCAACGATTTGAACATAATTGTACGTATGAAAAAATTTCATAGAAAAACCTAGCGAATTCGCTAGACCATTCTATTGGATTTCTATTAAATTTTCTATTAGTTTCTCGCCGATTCTATTGAAATGTTCAATAAAAAAGATTCTGTGGAAAAAGTCAATTGAATTCGTGTTCAAAAACTTCAAAATAATTCAAGAGAAATTAAAGTATTAAATTTAAACTTGTCATAATCTAAATTCCTGAATATCGATCGAGATAATTGAAGGAATTCGATTCTTCTAAATGAAAAATACTTCAAAACTTTCAAACCAGTAGATTGAAATTAATATTTAAATTGAACTCGCGATACAAAGATCATCAACCCGTTTTGTCTAGAACTCAAGAACAATTAATTTGAGGGAAGAGACAAGGTCTTGAAATAAAAACAGAAATTTGAATTTCATTGAACTGATTCTTACGAATCTATATTTTAAAATAAAATTCAACTTTAAAAGAAATACAAGTAAAATAAGTAACTTACAGAGATTGACTCTTTAGTCCTTGACAATCCTTATTGTATAATTGTTGCCGCCAAACAGTGATTTCACAATTTAATAATTCACATAAAACTGTCTCGATATAATACAAACTGACTCGACAACTACATTTACAATTTTAAATACAAAAACAAAATCTTAAAAGATTTAAAGAAAATATAAGTCACTAGAGGACTGTAAAAAGAATCACGAAAGATTCTGAATTTAAAGAATCATGAAAGATTTTGAATAAAAAGAATCACGAAAGATTCTTGATAAAAATCGTTCAAAGGGGTCGATTGAAAAGTTCACTTTTGGAACTGAGCAGGGAACACTGAAGAAAAACCCGGAGTGCAAGTGGTTTTATGAACCGGACGAAGGGTGTGACCTCAGGCACTTCTGGAGGGAAAACTCGGGGCCAATGGTGCACGACCTTGGTCCAGAATTTCCCTCTCCAGGCTCATCAGTCCCAGTGTTTCAGGGTTACTCCACCCCTTCCACATTGGGTTACTCAAATTTTTGTTGGGGTGTGGGCGGACTTCTCCACCCCCAACTAACCAATGAGAATTATTTCAGGAGTCCCATTTCTCCCTCCAGAATCTCGGATTTAACTAACTTAATTAATTAAATTTAAACATCAACTTTTAAGAATAGTTATCAATAAACATTTCTTATTATTAATAATCTAATTTTGTTCGTCGTCTCTTTTGTTAATAGAATATTGATTCAAACGTTTGAACTCTTTAAATCTATTAATTTTAATGTCATTATTTTGATTATTCAAGACTCTTTAAATTGATAATCTTGAAAGATCAAATACTTCAATTCCATTCAATTGATATTATTTAATTATGTGCAATTAACCAAATTGATAATTCAAATGTGATTTAATATTTAATTCAGTTCAAATAATACGATTTTGATAATTCGAAATTCTCCGAATTGAGAATTTCGAAATGATTTTCAATCGATTAATTGTCATTTTTATGAACAAAATGTTTCCATGAGAAATGATTTAAAAATTGAAAATATTATTTCGGATTTATTTATCAGTTGAAATTCCAGACGAGGGTACACACAAGTGTCCCTTGATCGTTGGCATCTCCTGTTTATCTCCCTTATCCGCCGGGTGGATGCATAGGGCGTAGGCGCATGGGAAAAGTCTCATGTGCAACAGAAAATTCTGAGGACTTTGGGAGGTCAGTAACAGACCTTCGACCTTCTAGTCGACGACATGCAGCCGCCTGCAGGTCGTAAAATACAAAACATATCCCCAGAGACAAACACTTGAAGAGTGTTTGATGGCTTACCGTTTGGAACTTTATTTTTTCGTTTCATGATTTTTCCCGGAAATTTACTTGAAAATTGTGTACCAAAGATAATTTATTTTGTGCAGCTGCACTTTTGAACCATCGAAAAATAAATATTTGAGTCCGTGAGAGAATTATTTACAAGAGAGAAACCATCTGGTAATTTCTAGATCTTTTTAAAAATGAGATGAAAAATTGAATAAAATGTATTTTTCGCCGGACGTCACATTCGATTTTTCTATACTACTTATTCTATTGAGATTTTTTCTCTATAGAATTTCCTCGACTCAAATTTTCCAAATTTTTTCGTTTGATTTTCTTGATGAAAAGACAAGAAAAATGAAATGAAAAAAACTTGAAAAATTTTGAGCCGAGGAAATTCTAGAAAATATACCTCAATAGAATAAGTTGTATAGAAAAATGGAATTATAGTACTTTTTCGCTACCTTTGAATGTCATGCTTCAAATGAATTCAATATCATAGTTTAAAATGTCATTAAGCTATTTTAATGGCATTAAGTCGAAATTAAAAGATTTTTCCGATTGCTATATTGGTTGATTTCATTTTTATGATGATTCACTTTCAAAAATCCAGTGTAACGATTTTTGAAGCCTCTAAGTAAGTAATTTTTGGACCCATAGTCGAAAACTTAAATTTGAAAAATTACAAGGTTTCCAGGTAAAAGCAACAAAAATAACTTTTCATCACACAATTTTATTCATTTATCCATTCATTTATTTTTTCATTCTGTATTTTTCGTCAACACCTTCCCTCAGGCCAATTGAACAGAGCATATTCCATGAAATTTCCAACAATTTTTATTACCACACATGCCTCAAAATAATTCTCCTATTCATCATTACGATCAATTTTTTTTCTTATAAAAATTGATCAAACGATCAGCCTCACGCCACCCTGAAACTATAGCTCCATGCACAGTACCATAGTCATGTGGCTCAGTAGCTTCTCCAGCAAATTGGATAACGGGCTTGTCATTTCGCATGACAGGTGTCCCCAATTGCTCCCGACTGGCATTATTCGCTACAGAAGCGAGGGAAGGGTAACTGTAAGTGCCCCTGAAGTTCTCATTGGTGTTCCAGCGGGTCCTGATGATGTCCTTGGGCTGGGTGAGATTGTAGGATTTACCGAAGAATCTTTCAATGAGTCCGAGCGTCTGATTTTTGAAGAGTTCGTCAGGGATTTTCTCCATCTGCTCGCAGTAGGGACCACTCATCCAGAGGAATAAGAGCTTCGGTTTGTACTCGACTGGGAGAGAGTAGGCGACACCCAACATCCAACTTTTTTCAGGCTGCAATAGCAGACGGATATTTCAATTCAATAAATTGATAAAGGTATAAAATTATCGAGCTTCATGTACGAAAAAATTTAATAGAAAAACCCTGGCACATTCACTAGACAATTCTGTTGGATTCTATTGAAGTTTCTATTTGTTTTTGGCCGATTCTATTGGCTTTTTCTGTAGAATATTTTCTATTGAAATTCGATTTTTCTATACAACTTATCCTATTGAAATATTTTCTATAGAATTTCCTCGACTCAAATTTTTCAAGTTTTTTACTTCGAAATGGAAACTTTGTGATCGTTCAAATTTTAGTTTTGGATTTTTTGTGTTATATCGACCCAAAAAAACAAAAAAAATTTTGAGCCGAGGAAATTCTATAGAAAAATAGAATTCTATTATGTTGTTCTATAGAATATTTTCTATTGAACATTTCCGTAGAATTTTCCAACAACTAATAATGAGTTCAATAGAAATCAATAGTATTCTCTACCAAATTCGCTAGGTTTTTCTATTAAATTTTTTCGTCCATCTTCTTACATCATTTTCGATTTCCTTTCTGTCCGCTTCCCTCCAGATAAGTAGATTCATGAAACTCTCAGTGGTATCCCACCAGGGCTCGTCGTAATACAGTAATATCTTCGCATTATGTCCAAAACCAAAACTCTAAATGACAAATGATCAATCCTCATTAGTTCGCAATTTTTCAACTGTCTTCTCAATTAGAAAGACATACCTCTATCGAATTCTTATTTTTCTCTGGTAAAACTGGTTTGAAAATCTTCTCGTGATCAGCCTTCAGAACTCCCAGCGAAGTTGTACTAATCACGTGATCAGCTGTGTACTCACTCCCATCGGAAGTCGTGACTTTTATCGGTCCATCACCATTATATTCTATTTTAATTACTTTTTTATTCAATGAGGTCTTATTCATGATCGGCAGTTCTTCCTCAGGATTCGGAATTTTTTTCTAGAAGCGTAGAGAAATCAGTAGCGAAGAGGTACAACAGTTCAAGTCGATTTAGTCGTTAGCTGATGAGTTTTCGAGGAATATCGCCGAATCTGAGGGAGATAACGAAATTTTCGTCGAAACCTTTTTTGTAGCCCTCAATTCGCTCTATAAAAAAGGTTTAGACAGAATTTTCGTTATCTCCCTCAGATTTCGAGATATTCATTGAAAACTGGCCAATAGTCGAAATCGCGAATGAATAACTGTTATTTCTAACGCACCATCAGGATTTCTAGAATAGTTGCGTACGCTCGATCCTTCCAGTTGACGACTGAAAATCCTGAGGAACCTCCATCTTCCTGTATCATTTTGAAGGAGACGTCGTTCAAATCCGTGGCCCCCTGCAATGCCATCAGGCCCAATTTTACGGCATGTGCCAAACCATTACGCATGTCAGGGGTAATTTTATCCGTGTGATTATTGTAATATTCGTTCAGCCTAGAATAATTAATCGATCAATTCTTCATTTTCATGGGAAGGATATCGATGAAACTTTAGGAATATTAAAAGAATTTAATCTTAAATTAATTCAATTTCACTAATTTTTATAGTTTTAAAACTTGAAAATAATTTTCAATGCTCAATTATTATTAGACAATTAATTCTAAATTTCTGAATTTGATTTTTCAATTAATCAAATAATCGTTAATCTTGCGAAGTCACTAATTTATAAGGTATTTAAAAAATTTGATTAATGATTAATTTACTAAAAATAAAAAAATAGTACAATACAGTTGACTGATTTTGTATGTAGGGTGAACAGGCCAATCCCTGGACGATTTCACCTATTATTGAATATTCTATAAATAATAGAATGAAAACGTACGGATTATTATCATTATCAATAATAACACTTATGTATAATCATGTGAAGGTTTTTTCGAAATATCAACATTACAGCGAGACAAAAAATAAAATATTCGGGAGGTACAGTGGTGGGTGGCGTGGCGCTGCAATTTGCTAAGCATCAGTGACAAAGTGTCGTAGAAAAAAAAGAAGTTCTCTTCCGAAAGAGTCAGATGTGGGAAATAGCACAATATTTTCAGGAGGACAATAACATCCCGAATATTAAGAATCTATTTGGCCTTGTATTTCTTCATATTCAATAAAACAAAATTCACATGTTTGTATAAACTGGATGAAAATTCTATATTCCTCCAGACCGTCCATGTATTGGCCATCCACCGTCCAGTTATTGGGAATTTGGACGATATTCCACTTTTCCCTCATTTAATTATTCTTCTCTTCATTTATTCCACTTCAAATTATTTTTTTTTCCTAATTCATATATTCTTTCAGGTCTAGAACTCATTTTTTCTTCATTCAGCTACTTCATCGATTTTAAATCCTTTAATGAAGTTCAACATTTCCTTAACCATCCAGCTATTGGCCTTTTTACCCTAGTGAAATAATTTTAATTCTGTATTATGATCTCCCTATATCTGCTCTCATTGTACGGACATTCTATTCTTTGGTTACGGCCGCGGGGATTCCCCGCCGTTATTGCTTAGACTCCGACATTGCCGAACTCACTCTAGACAGTTCCGGCGCATTTAGCGTGTTTCCGGCAACGTCGCGCAACGGGAATTTAATTTGATACGAAAAAAAAATCGTTCATCGATTAGAAATCATTTAGGCTCTTTGGGAATTTCGAATATTATGCAATTTTTGGAAATGGAATAATTTGAACCTGCCTATTATCCAAACGTTCACCATAAGATCCGCTCTTTAAATTCTCAGCTGAACCATGCGCGCTTTCATCAACGTAGGTGAAAAATTCCACTCCCAGTTCTTTCATTATAACTTCCCCTTCGGATGAATAATAACGATGATTGACGGGTTCTTCTTCCGGTCGTCCTGGACCCATGGCTTTAGATAAAAGTCCCAGAGGTGCGGCGAGATCATGCGCTACATTATTGCACTCTCCATGCACCCATTGACCACCCAGATCAATCCAATAGTCTCCTGATCATTCAAAAATAGTGAATCAGAATGATGAATTATTTTGTTACTTTCGGAGAAATAACTTGCTTCACATTTTCGCATAAGCTAGAGTGATTACAAAGTTTTTTATGAAAAGACGGGAATATCTTGTAAACTTTGGATGAATTTTGCATATGTTGTGATTGATTTAAATAGAAGGCATACAAGCGAATATTTTGATAACGAAAAAAATCGAAATCGGTCCACTAGTTGTGAAGATATCTGCGAAAAACGATTTAACATCGAATGGCTTTTTCTTAAAGACTATTAGATCGAGCGGGCTGAAATTTTGCACAGAGTTAGTCCTTATTAAGACCTTTAATCTGACAAAATTTCAGATTTTTTGGAATTATTTTACGTCGCCGAACTTCGTATTTTTACGTTTCAGACAATTCCACATAATTTCCGATCAAAATTAGAGAATGTGAAAATCGGACGATTACAATGCTTCCATTCGAAAGCAAAAAATACATTACCAGTGTGGAAAATTTTACTGTACAGGAGGATAATTTTGCATCTATAGATGTTTTTTTTTTACCAAACAAACCGCAAAATGTCCTCCACAAACAATAATTTTTTTTTATTGAATTACAATTTGCTCCATGATTACCTTTCGTACATTAAAATTTGGCACGATTTTGTGGGTAATTTCTCTCCAACTTTTCCCTGCGGAAACTTCTCAATAGTTTTTGGTAGAAAAAATCATCATACCAAATATCGTGCTGTTCACTCGACCGCCAATTCTCCCCTCCGCCTCTAAAATCGTAACGTCTGTTATTCCATTCTGGAGTAGTTTGGAAGCGGCTGCAATTCCAGAAGGTCCAGCCCCTACTATGATAACTTTCGGATCTTTTTCCTCCGCGAAAACGTTCGAAACACAAAGGAGAAGCAGAAGGGCCCTCATTGTCACTAGTGTTTCAATCGAGGCAACTGGACGCTCGAATGAGTGACTTCTCTTATAGATCTGACGCTTTTATCATCGCTCATTTACTTGACCGTGGATGCTGGACTATCCAATCGGGTCGAGTTGCAGATTGGATACTTCTCTTTTTTTTCGGCTAATCGCGTTATTGAAAATGATTGTAAATAGGCGTGTTTATGCAACAGTGGATATCTTAATTCCGGATTTTTATGCACAATGAAGAGCCTCCATAGGGAATTATATCGGCTCAATTTCTACTGTTCCCACTTTATTCATCGTACTCATATTGCACACAGAAGAATGTTTTATTTGAATTAAATAAACTTTCTTGAATCAAATAGATCATCTATTAAAATCAAGCAGACGATTTATGTGATTCAAAAAAAGTTTATTTAATTCAAATGAACTATTTCTTTGAGTGTGCTGCGTATTCGTTCTTTTCCTTCCTCTCGACCATCTTCTATTCTCTTAATTCCTATTCCGCGGACGTGTCATCTCTTTTTGTATTTATTTCGTCCCAAAATCTTTAATAAACAGTTATTTATTTATTAAATGTAGCCATTCTTTACGTTATTTTCAATTCTCATAATTGTATTTCTTTTATGTACTAGGGCTATGTCCACAAGAGCGCATGAATCATGTATGAAAAAACATTATAGAAAAACCTAGCGAAGTCGTTGGACAATTCTATTGGATTTCTATTGCACTTTCTACTAGTTTCTAGCCGATTCTATTGAGATATTTTCTACAGAACTTCCTCGGTTCAATTTCTCTAAATTTTTTTCATTTCATTTTTCTTTTCTTTTCATCAAGAAAATCAAACAGAAAAATAGAAAATTTGAAGCGAGGAAATTCTATTGAAAATATCTGAATAGAACCGGCCAAAAACTAATAGAAAGTTCAGTAGAAATCCAATAGAATTGTTGAGCGAATTCGCTAGGTTTTTCGGTTAAATTTTTTCGTGCGTGATAATCAGATCTATTTGTATTACATTTAAGTTTATTCACCTACCATTTAAGTTATGTAATTGGCCTTGGCGGATTGAGTTTCATACCAATAAATAAAATAAACAAAATGAATAAAATAAACAAAAAACATGAAATAAATAAATAAATAATACATAATTTTTACTCTCTCTTGTCCATTTTGTCTGGGTTTTCCAAGAGAATATGGGTTATAAGCTCCGTACAATATTGTAAAATTCATCATTCTCCAAATTATGAGAAATCTTATTCCAATTGCACGACACTATGACATTTTCAATAAATAAACTGCGTTCGCAATGACTGAGTCTGCATCTCTGAATCGAATTCCCAATAAGTTTGGACGTGGAGACAAGCATGGGGTTCATCATTTTATTTGGTACAAACATGTTTACAATTATTTTATACAAAAAATAGCATTCCTTTTTCTTATTCTTTATTAGTGACATTATCTAGCGGAAATTCAGCATTACGAATACATCATAGATACGGTAAAAATTCCACAAAAATATGAATCGACAATCGAGCAAAAACTGTCTCCTGGCGATAATGGGAATTTTTTTTACCATCTTGGTGTCATCATCTTATCCTCTCCGTAATGAAAAATATGAAATAGAATCTTCATCGTTCGGCAACTTGAAACTTACAAATATGATTTTTCAATATGAAATAATTAAAAATAAAATTGAATTTTTCGTACAATTTAGTCACGATGTTTTTCTCTTTTGGATTTTTCTTTTCATTGTTACTTTTTTTTCAAATACAGTAGGACCTAGCAATTCGCATACTTTCTGTCCCGCACGACCTAGCTGTTTGCATAATTCCCCTCTTGCTGTCTTCACCCCCTCCGCTACTCGCTACTTCCCTGACGCTCGTTCTAATAAACCAATCAAATGTCAGTAGTGAGCGGGACGATTGAGAACCGTCACGAGAAAGAACCAGGGGTGCGATTTTACTCGTTTTATGTCGATATAAAATCGTAAATTTCAACCAATGACACTTCTGGATTCGGAATCCTCAACTAGGATTGGTTGAAATTTATGATTTTATGTCGACATAAAACGAGCAAAATCGCTCCCGTGGTGCCTCTCATAACTCAAAAATGAACACCGATGAGAAAATTATTAATTATACAATTTATTAAACAAAGTATTCACGTGTTCTATATTTATTAGAGTCCAGTATCACAATGAATTATGTCATAAACTATATTAATAATGACGACGATTGCAGTAGGACTAAAATTTAAATTGACATAGCAAAATAAAATTCAGGAATGCAGGAATGACCCATCCTCAGAGTAACTTTGATGAATTTAACATGTTCACTCTTCAATCAATCGGAATACATTGAGTTTGCGAGACATCGTAAAAGTATTTGGTGAAAATTTTCAGTTGCAGACAAATTTATTATTCATATGTTTAGACAAACTGGTGCAAACGTGGGGCGATAAAATCATTAATTAGAAAAAAGTTCTGCATTTCTGAAGGAAATAGTTCGATAGCTTCAGAGTTTCTCGGATTCATTGGAACATTTCTCACTATTCAACGCATCGATTTTGAATCGAATTTGAAATACCAGATGTGCGCATTGGGTTATGCGCATGTCTCGGAATCAGGTGATTAATTACAGAAGGGGTAAGAGGGCGGTTCGTAATATGCGAACATCTAGATGAGCGAAAATATGCAAACAGTTCGGGCCTATGCGTTTTACCAGTATGCGAACTACTAGATCCTACTGGATTTCTTGAGCTCATGATTTTGTTCCAAAATGAGAACGCTGCTCCTCAACACGGACGAAAAAATGTAATAAAAAAACCTGTCGAATTCGTTAGAAAATTCTATTGCATTTCTATTGAACTGTTCTATTAGTTTTTGGCCGATTCTATTGAAATGTTCAATAGAAAATATTCAGTAGAAAAAGTCAATAGAATTCAATTTTTCTATATAACTTATTCTATTGAGATATTTTCTATAGAATTTCCTCGGCTCAAATTTTTCAAGTTTTTTCGGTTGATTTTCGTGATGAGAAGAAAAAAAATAGAATGAAAAAAACTTGGAAAATTTGAGTCGAGCAAATTCTATAGAAAATATCTCAATAGAATAAGTTATATAGAAAAATTGAATTCTATTGACTTTTTCTACTGAATATTTTCTATTGAACATGTCAATAGAATCAAATTCAATAGAATTTTCTAACGAATTCGATAGGTTTTTCTATCAAATTTTTTCCTGCGTGAAATTCCACAATCTTCAGGCGGACCTGCGCCCAATCAAACATCAACATTCATTTGGCAATTAAACTTTAACATTCATTTGGCCTTGGAATTACGAGTGCTTCTTATCATTCTCAAGTCTCTCGGTGATGAGTGGTCTCTCTCTACTCATTGGAACGAAACTCTGCGTACGTCTTACTCTGTCACCACTCCTCAGCGGTCTCATCATCACAAATTTGGCTTCAAGAAGCAACTGAGCCTCCTCAGTGCGTTTTACCTTCTCATGAGCTGCACTCAATTCCTTATCCAGACTTTGTCTCTCGGATTCCAATTGCTTCAGCCTCGATTCTGCATCTGTATCAAATCGCACAGGAAAAAACCATTCGCGTTATTTTTTCCATTTATCTAAAATATTCGTTAATTACATAAGTAAAGCTGCGAATAGTGAAATTCATTCACAGCTTCAAGCTTATTCGATTTGATTGAATCATGACGCCAAATCATTAGAAACTAGCAAACGGCTTAATTTATATTCTGTTATTTTATTTTTTTTTCCATTTTCGTCTTCACAATTAGATTAATTTAATTTCATGCATTCTTATTGTTATTATTTTTGTTCCTCAATTCGAAAGTTACAACTTTGAATGGAGAGGAATTCCCCATAAATCACGTGAGAATACAGATCGACAAACAATTTTCGATAATCATACCTAAAATTTTTCATTTCTTTCTTTTTCTTTAAATTAATTAGTACCAATGATCTCTGAATGTGAACGAATATGAACATTTTACACCACTTCGATCTCATTTCAATGGATCCGAAGAAGGAAATTGCAAAGAGAGATCGATCATCATCAATCAGTATCAATAGAATTAAAAAATCTATTTTTCTGTCTTTTCGAAATTTTTCGAATTGTTTTTTTCTTCTTAAAAAATGAAGGGAGATTAACGTTTTTAATTTCTGTACTCCGTTCACAGAAACAGGAAAATTAAAAAATCGATTTTTCAATGTTGAAAATTTCAAAAGGTTTTTCGTTCAATAATGAAGAAAAACCAATGTATTTTCTTTCTATTATCTAATTCTGATGGAAGAAAGTGAAAAGAGGAAGAGAAACGAGATCACCACGAAAACAGAATTTTTAATCTTTCAATGTCTACGGAAAATTTTAAACTTGATATATTGTTTCGAATAATGAACCAACACCCATAAATTTAGTTCCTATCCTAACATTTTCATAGAATTATTACATTATATTAATCCGATAAATTTTTTCATCTCCGATTTTTATTCTTTGCTATTTTTTTATGTATTCTATCAAAATGTGATGGTAGAAATTGAATTGATGGGTATTCTTTCATTATTTGAAAAAATATATCAATTGTAAAACTTTCCGGAGACATTGAAAAATCGAAATTTTTATTTTCTTGCTGATCACGTATCTCTGTTCTCTTTTTCACTTTCTTCCATTGAAATTAGATCATAGAAAGGGAACATATTGATATTTTCTCGTCATCTAAAAAAAATCAATTTTGAAATTTTTCAGAAAAATAAAAAATCGTTATCTTTTATTTTCTTGCTGATCATCTCTCCCTGCATTTTTCTCATTTCCTCTCAATGAAATCAGATCATGAAAACGAGAAATTTCATTTTCATGATCTGATTTCATTGAGAGGAATTATTATATTATACTGATATTATTTAACATAAATATATCTTCATTTGAAAATGAGAAAAACTGTTCCCGCAATTTGTATACTACAATGGGAATAGAATCCAATAAATTTAATTTAATCTAACCACAAAGAAAAATTGGAAAGAAAACAATAAAACAAATTAATATAATATAATATAATCTAAAAAACCTACTAAAAATATAACATAAAAAAATAGCAAAGAATTCAAATTGGCGATGAAAAATCTTATCGGATTATTGCTATCTAATAATTACCGAGTCAAACAATACCTTTGAGTTGACGTTCATTCTCCATCTGCTTGGCCTCGAACTCCCTCCTCTTCATCTTCTCTGTCTCCAGCAGCTCCAGCTGCTCCTGCTGCAGTCTCTCCAGTTCCTCCCGCCTCTCCCACTCCTCCCGGAGGACACGGGCCTGCAGTCCCCGGACAATTTCCTCGTCCCTCAGGGCCTGCGTCTCCTCCTGCAGCAAAATCTCCAATTTCTTCTTCGCGTCCTCCAGTTCCTGGACCTTCGCCAACTCCCCTCGAGTGATTGTCTCCAGCTTTCGGGCCTGCACTTCAGCGGCGATTCTCGCCTCCCTCTCGTGGTTCAGCTCCTGTCGCGTCTCCTCTCGGTGCTGTTTGTTGGAGAGCCTCAGGGATCTTCGCTGATTCGCCAGGGTTCTTTGGTAGCTCAGCTTCTCCCCTGAGTAACGGATCGCCGTCTGCAGGGCCGTCAGCCACTGCAGGCGGCCCTTGTGGTCCTCAGCGACCAGCTCTATGCACCTGTGCTCCGGGGTCGAGAGGACAAACCGACGGTCTGGCTTTCCGCCTGAGGGCGAGGCGTCCGCCCAGCAATTTATGTTCAGGGCGATCACCCCTGACGGCTCCTTCTGGAGGGAGTCTTTGTAATAGGATAATTCGCCTGGTCGCAGCATGAAGTAGAAGCATTTCAACGTCGGCAGGAGGAATCCCTTCTTCATTAAGTAACCCTGGATTTTTTTATTTTATATATGGAGGAAAAAATTCAATAAAAAAATTGCAGGCGGCTGTAGCTTCGATACCGATGTAATTGGACGTGCACTGAGGAAAATATAATTCTTCTGACTATATTCCATCACCATCGAATTATAGTCAAAAAGTCCTCAACAATTTTTCATGGGTTACAGTAACTATGGCCGGAGAAGTAATTACTGCAATGGAATGTAGTCATTGCAACTATTTTATAGTTCTGCTCACGATAGATTTGTCGTGGTTACTTTTGAACTTTGATTAGTTTAACTGCATTTTGATTTGCAAAAATTACGCTTGTGAAGTTACTAATAATGTTATGTGCCGCGTACAATAAAAAATCGTATCGTTCACCAAAATGCCTCAACTATTTTCTTTTTGTAAATCGAACTTCAGATTTTTCTCTCAGTGCAGATACGTCTATGGTCTCCCGCATAGAAAAAAAAAAGCCAAAACCTATGAGTGAGATATAGTCATTTAGATCCGATCAATTAGCCCCTCATGTATAGATATTCCAAATTTTTATTTTTTTCCTCATTGAAGTAGTTTTGAAGAAAATTGCGAGCTAATAAAAAACATTTGCTAGTTAGTACTTTTTTTAAAATAAATTTTTGAAAAATTATCCCTGAAAAAAAGGCGTTAACCCCCCTATTTCATTATTTCCAAAAATTTTTATCACCAATCGGCAGCANCATTTCTCGACCCGCTCTTTCGTTTGAGCCCAAAAAAACATTCATATCTTGTCTGACAGCTTTGCTACAAACTCGGGTCTTCAACTCGGGCCTTCAATTAAAGGCCCGAGTTGTAGACCCGAGTTTGTAGTAGCGATGTCAGACAAGATATGAATGTTTTTTTTGGCTCAAATGAAAGAGCGGGTCGAGAAATGGCGTGCAGAAGTCTTTAAAGATGACAAATCTCTCTAAAGATGATGTCTGTTTTCAATTGAAAAGCGCAATTGTAACAACATTTTCCAGTGGGGTCTAGGAGTCTCCCCTGGTTCAAAACCATCTTTAGAGTGAACTTTTCGTCACAGCGTGATGAAAAAGTTTTTTTCGGCCTAATGACGAAATATGCTATTACGCACAACCTCTGAACTTTACGCACGCCGTGCGTGGAACAAACGCTTTACGCACACTAAACGGTTTCGAAGAGTAAACTTTTCAGACACGTATCACAAAAAAAACGTAAAAATTACGTTTCGAAACGTAATCCGCGCGCGATGTAAGATTCAATAAAAAGTGTGAGTTGGAACTGAATTGTACGAATCGCCACGTAAATTGTACGACTTGTTCCGTAAAAATTAACCAGCCGTCTGATGACTCACCGCTGTGGGGACAACAAGTCGTTCCGTAATTTTTCCCCAACGACTGAGAAATTTGACGGAACGAAACGTAGAAATAACTCACCAGCTTCAAAAAAATTGTTGAACGTTCAAGAATTTTTGATTTTGGAGGCATAATGAGTCGACAAGTTTCTGTAAGATTTTACTTCTTCGGGAAAAATTACGTGACAATTTCGTACTTTGTTCGGTGATGAACCTGAAAATTCACTGAACGTTTCAGATTTCTTCTTTTCCCTTCCCATAAAAATTGCCGGAAATCGATTCCCCATTGCGGATTACGTGAATTGTTCCGTAATTTTTACTGAATATTTCTCTCCATGTCGGGATCGTTTTGGGAATAATGTTTTATTCAATTTACCTTCTTTATGACGTCTTCAACATAAACGCGATAAAGATCATCAATGGCTTCGGTCAATGCAACATCATCTACCGCTCCTCCACCTGAGTATTTAGATTCTAGAACTGCTAAGAACGTTGGAAACCTTGAAAAACAAGTAAATAACTACATCTTTTAATGAATGTATAGTTATTATTGCTTATAAATTAACAATTTGATTCCAAATGGATTCTTTTTTTTTAGTTTTCATTTTAATATTCTATTCTTTTCTGTTTTCTCAAATATAATAAATCTATTGCTCATTCTTTGGCCGCGAGTCACGTAAGACTGAATGGATTTCAATGGTATTTTTACTATTAAATAGTTTAGGGTCCCTAATCGGTTTTATGAACCCTAGAAAATGCTAGAGCTTTCTGAAAAATTCTAGAATATTCTCGAGTATTCGGGAATATTTTTGAAATTTCTCCAAAGTTTGAGAAAATTTTCGGGTTTTCTAAACAATTCGAAAAAATTCTGCGGTTTTCGAAAAATTTTCAGTTTCCCAGAAAATTTTAAGAAAATTCTTTGGTTTCACAGAATTCGAAAAATTAGAGGAAATTTTCGGGTTTTCTAGAGAATACGAAGAAATTCTCGGATTTTCTACAATATTCGAAGGAATTCTCGGATTTTCTAAAAAAAAATTTTTGTTTCAATTGAGCAATTTTATTTCAAATTCCGATTGACTAGCTGTGTGACCTGGCTTCACCCGGGCAGAATAAGAGAAAATTGAGAACCAGGATTTTTTTAGAAGTCCTGCAATTAAAAAAAAACACCTCAATTGAAAAGTCGAAAACATTAATGTTTTCGACTTTAATGGTTTCGACTTTTCTAAAACATCCGAGAAGTCAAGAAAATTTGAGGATTTTCCAAAGTATTTGAAAGAATTCTCGGGTGTTCTTGAAGAGTCAAAACATTAAGGTGTTTTTTTTAATTTCAGGATTTCTCAAAAATCCAGGTATTAAATATTTTCTTATTCTGCCCGGGCGAAGCCGGTCCACACAGCTAGTCATGTTAAAACTCGACAGCCACTAATTGGCCATTAGTTTATATAAAAAATACAATACTGTGCATTAATTTTTTCTAGAAGTTTTTATAAATGTAAATACTGTAAATAATTCCTGTGGTATAAATAAAAACATTGTTAATAAAAAAAATGCAGTTAGTCATGTCAGGGGGAGGGGGAGGATGAGGTGGGAAGTAAACATATCGTAAAAATCCAATACGGTATACGAAAGAAGAAAAAAAAATTGAAGAATTACCGGTAACTGCCGATAGCCGCTGACAACGCAGAAAAGTCCAGCGAATCCCACCTCAGACCCAGGGAGGTCACGAGCTGCGAGGCAACGTGTGCTACCTCCTCACTGTGCATCGTCACCAGAAACGTACTATCCGTCGAATCCGTCTCCATTTCAGCGAGCAAACAGAAAATGCGAAATAATTTGTAGACACTCTGATCATCGAAAACAGCGTGGGATCTCTCTAGAAATAGTTTTCTGCACAGTAACCAGCAGATCTCGTTGACCCCCTCCTCCAGAGCTCTGCAGGACTCTATCGGGGTTGAGTCAGTCAATGAAGAGAATAACTGAAATGAAAAAAAAAAATTGAAATTACAGTACCAAAAAAAATTTGAGTTGAATTTCCTCAATTTCAAGCAGAACGAATTCCGGATTTACTTTCTTGTGATGTTCGATTGATGACAAAAATGGGTAATCATTTGGAAATTGTTAATTAATGCACAGGAAAAAATGAGAGGTAGATATTTTCGTAATCAAGTTATGGTGAAATAGCGGAGTATAATTTACGAAAAAAATTCTATAAGTGTTTTTTCCTCATTGTTGTTTCAATGACAACAAATTGTCGGGCACGAAAAATTATCAGAGAAAAATCTCACGCATTTGCCGAAGAATTCTAGTACACTGAGAGAAAAACAAACACGTTGTCAAACAAGTCTTGTTTGGGCCAATAAAATCGCTAGTTGAAAATTGCCTAAAAAGAATTTGTTTGGTTCGAATTTGAAAGTCTCAAACATGAATAATTGTTCTGCTTCCGACAGCAACGAAATATTTGGCTCGAGAGGCGGATAATTCACACCAGACGGTGCCTTTTCAGGATGAAAATATCTCATATACAGAGGAAAATTTATCAACAAATATTTTTTCCCCAAGTTACAAGATTGCTATCATATCATTATTATTGTTTCAGTTAAGGGTTCATTTGTTGTCTGTGAGTATTAGACAGCCGAAACGAAAAACTACTTCCCCTTGTTTCGCATAAAACAAAGATTTTTCGGAAGCAAAATACGTATGGGAGTATCAAATAACAAAGGAGTAGTGCTAGAAATGATATTTCTTGCGTGTACAGGGAATGCAATTTTTTTTCAACTACTAAATCTATTTTTGCGACAAAAATTTTTCATTCCGGCGCACTCTGTGCATGTTTGCCACCAAAAAATCGTTTTTTGATCATTTTCAAAAAACTACTTTCTTGGCACAAGTAAGACTTGTTTGAGAATTTTGTTGTTTTTCTCTCAGTGTACCTTCTTTTGATATTCGATTGATGATAAAAATGGATAAATCATTAGGAATTATTAACATGCGGTCAAAAATGAAAGATGGATATTTTCCTAATCAAGTTATAATGCTTTTTTAAAAGAATGACTGAGCATAACTTAAGAAAAAAAAACAATGACCATTCTTTTCTCATTGTTGTTTCAATGACAAAAAATTCTCAGGTATGAAACATTCTCACAGAAAAACTGAGAGCAATCGTCAGAGAATTCTATTATATTTCTATGGGATTTATATTGGAATCTCTCTTGGTTATTTATGTCGGTTTTCTTGACAAAATGCGCGGATTTCCTGCGCGTTTTTGTCATTGGAAATGTTTGATAGAAAATAAATCAATCAATTTGATTTTTTTATACAAGTTATTCTCTTGTAATATTTTCTATGGGAATTCCTCAGCTCGATTTTTCCCAGCTCTTTTATTTGATTTTTTATGAGGACAGGAAAAATAGAGTGAAAAAACATGAATATGTGACGAGAAATTTCTATACATATAGAAAGTATTTCAATAGAATAAGTTTTATAGAAAAATTAAATTTCATCAATCATTTCTGTAACACAATTTTTATTAAACCTTCTCTATTGGAAAAGGACACGCAAAAAGCTGCAGAATTGTTTAATAAAATCGGCAAAAATCTAATAGAATATCTAACAGAAATCTAATACAAGTTTCTAGAAAAAGTCAATAGCTTTTTCCTTGAAATTCTTCGAGGAATGGCTGTAGAAAATATTTCAATAGAATAAGATTTTTTTTTTTAATCAAATTTTATCGATTTTCTCTATAAAATACATTCTATTGAACTGTTTCTAATGAAAAAGCACACGCAAAAAATAGCAGAATTTTTCAATAGAATTGTCAAAAATCTAGTCGAATATCTAAGAGAAATTCAATACAATTTTCTAGAAAAAGTCGATAGCGTTTTCCAATCGCTATAGAATTGTTCCAAAAAACATTTCAGTGGAACAAGTTTTCTAGAAAAATATACTTTTATTGGTTTTCTCTATAAAATACTTTCTATTAAACTGTCTGTAATGAAAAAGAAGACGCAAAAAGCTGCGGAATTTTTCAATAGAATTGTCAAAAATCTAGTCGAAAATCCAACAGAAATTCAATACAATTTTCCAGAAAACGTCGATAGCGTTTTCGCTATCGCTATAGAATTGCTCTAGAAAATATTTCAGTGGAACAAGTTTTCTAGAAAAATAAACTTTTATCGATTTTCTCCATAAAATACTCTTTATTGAACTGTCTCTAATAAAAAAGAACACTCAAAAAGCTGCGGAATTTTTCAATAGAATCGTCGAAAATCTAGTAGAATATCTAACAGAATTTTCGAAACAAATTCTATAGCTTAGTCCATGAAATTCTGCCGTGCGCGAATCGAATTACGAAAAAATTCGGATTGTCACTAATATAATAAACAATAAACAATGAGTTTTGAATAACTTACAAATAAAAATTACCTCAATTTTTTTTTCATAATTTTTTAACTCAAAAAAGTCAATTGAAAACTCACCTCTTTCTGGAGATAATAAATAAACTGTTCGAAAGTGAGAGTGGAGGTGCTCCTATAATGCTCCAGTCCTTTCTCAACTCCATACAAGTCCATCAGAGTGCCAATATTAGCAGTCAAGACCTTGAGAAACAAATAAAAAACCTCAATTCCACCGAAAAAAAGTCGAAAAGCCCAATTGTCTCCGTTAAAAATAAAGAAATATTTCTGAACCACACCCGAATGTAAAACATTGGGGTCACTGACACACTCGGCACAAAAATAAATATTAAATATTGTATTACCTTGAGCTTTGATTTGGCAACTATATTCGGTGTGTGTCCTTGAAGCGCGTAGAATGCATGCCAAATGCTGTTGGACAAATTCTTGAGCAAATGAGCCATTATTGTTTTGGTAGAATACTAATCAACAGGTGGCTAAGACGTCTCGACCCGCATCCTCAACGAGAGGGAATGAATGAAAAGTAAAACTGACCATGTCACGTTCGTGGAGTGACTGTACTGCTTACTCATTCCCTCGCGTTCATCATGAGAGTGTCTGAGATATGTATATAGTCCATCTCAGATAAATTGATGTTCCGTCGACAAAACGATAGACTTCATTAAATTATTTTCATATCATTTTTTTTGTTCGGTTAGGTTTTCTGTTCCTCCCAACAAATGAGTAAAAAGGATTGTATGAAGGGGTATGGATATTTTGAGCGATCTAGATAGAAGCCGGCCAGATGAGTATTTTGAAAAGAGAAAAAATCAAATCATTGAATATTTTGTGAAGGACTTAACAAAATAGATTTACGCTAAAGATTGCATATTCCAGGAACCGCTCGGCCGATTGGTCCCATCCGAAATACCCACCTTTAGTACACGGAGAAGAATATTCAGTAAAAATTACGGAACTCACAACTCGCTCACCGATTACGGAATCGACTCAGAAAATTTAAGTGACGGTATGGTAATTTTTCACAGGTGATTCAGATGAAAACTACCGAACGCTCTGGAAAAATTCCGTGACAGTTCCGTAAAATTTCCAACAACCACATTTCGCTCCGGAATTACGGAAAAGATACGTAATTTTTATTGGATATTTCTCTCCGTGTATTATAACACGTACGAAAAAATCGTAGGGGAGGGTGGGGTAAACGGACACATTAGAATTTGTTAAAATTTTTCATAACTCAGAAACAAATTGATCAATTGAGCTCCGTTTAGGCTCGTCAGAAAGAGAAAGAATTGTTCTTTGTATTGAAAAAATAGTACATTGCGTTACGAGTGCGGAAAAGAATTTTTTGGCTCGGAGGAGGTTTATAGCACACGCTGAAGCCAAGTGACATAATCCCACGAACCAAAAAACACTTTTCCCACGAATTAATTTAATTTATCTTGTATAGGGTATAGGAAGTGGAAAGACGCAATTCTGAGCCGTCCATCTACCTATAGGGAACCCAAATTTTCTCCGGAATCGAATGGAATAGGTTTTAAGGCTCTATCTCTCATAGTTCCCGAGATAATCGCGAAAAACGAAATGGCCAAAAAAAATTGAATTAATTGATGTTTAATAGGATTTAGGAAGGGAAAAACGCAATTCTGAGCCGTCCATCTCCCTACCGGGAACCCAAATTTTCTCAGGAATCGAATGGAATAGGGTTTAAGGCTCTATCTCTCATAGTTCCCGAGATAATCGCAAAAAACAAAATGGCAAAAAAAAATTAATTTAATAGGCTATAGGAAGAGGAAAAACGCAATTCTGAGCGGTCCATCACCCTACAGGGAACCTAAATTTTCTCAGGAATCGAATGGAATAGGTTTTAAGGCTCTATCTCTCATAGTTCCCGAGATAATCGCAAAAAACAAAATGGCATAAAAAATTAATTTAATAGGCTATAGGAAGAGGAAAAACGCAATTCTGAGCGGTCCATCACCCTACAGGGAACCTAAATTTTCTCAGGAATCGAATGGGATAGGTTTTAAGGCTCTATCTCTCATAGTTCCCGAGATAATCGCAAAAAACAAAATGGCATAAAAAATTAATTTAATAGGCTATAGGAAGAGGAAAAACGCAATTCTGAGCGGTCCATCACCCTACAGGGAACCTAAATTTTCTCAGGAATCGAATGGGATAGGTTTTAAGGCTCTATCTCCCATAGTTCCCGAGATAATCGCGAAAAACGAAATGGCCAAAAAAAAAATTAAATTAATTGATCTTTACAAGGTTGTACGAAGGGAAAAAACGCAATTCTCAGCCGTCCATCTCATTATAGGGAACCCAAATTTTCTCAGGAATCGAATGGAATAGGTTTTAAGGCTCTATCTCCCATAGTTCCCGAGATAATCGCGAAAAACGAAATGGCCAAAAAAAAAATTAAATTAATTGATCTTTACAAGGTTGTACGAAGGGAAAAAACGCAATTCTGAGCCGTCCATCACCATCCAGGGAACCCAAATTTTCTCAGGAATCGAATAGAATAGGTTTTAAGGTTCTATCTCTCATAGTTCCCGAGATAATCGCGAGAAACGAAATGGCCAAAAAAAATTAAATTAATTGATCTTTAATAGGCTGTAGGAAGGGAAAAACGCAATTCTAAGCCGTCCATCTCCCTACAGGGAACCCAAATTTTCTCAGGAATCGAATGGAATAGGTTTTACAGCTCTATCTCTCATAGTTCCCGAGATAATCGCAAAAAACAAAATGGCCAAAAAAATTTAATTTAATAGGCTATAGGAAGAGGAAAAACGCAATTCTGAGCCGTCCATCACCCTACAGGGAACCCAAATTTCCTCAGGAATCGAATGGAATAGGTTTTAAGGCTCTATCTCTCATAGTTTCCGAGATAATCGCGAAAAACGAAATGGCCAAAAAAAATTAATTTAATAGGCTATAGGAAAAGGAAAAACGCAATTCTGAGCCGTCCATTACCCTACAGGGAACCCAAATTTTCTCAGGAATCGAATGGAATAGGTTTTAAGGCTCTATCTCTCATAGTTCCCGGGATAATCGCAAAAAACAAAATGGCCAAAAAAAATTAATTTAATAGGCTTAAGGAAGAGGAAAAACGCAATTCTGAGCCGTCTATCACCCTACAGGGGACCCAAATTTCCTCATGAATCGAATGGAATGGGTTTTATGGCTCTATCTTTCATAGTTCCCGAGATAATCGCGAAAAACGAAAT